GTGGCTCCTTTTGATCTCAGTGCTTCCTCACCACCATGACATAAGCAGCTTTCCTCCCCCAGACCCTTCTTCCACCATGTCTTTCCTGCTGTGGAGCCAGCCAGCTATGGACTGAATACTCTAAAAACCTTCACCCAAAATAAACCTCTCTTCCCTTAAGTAGGGGTGTCAGGAATTGTGTCTCAGTGAGTGACTCAGGTAAGTGACTGAGACACCTGCCTTCCCAAGATCTAAGAACACTTTAATTTGAATGAAAAGAAAAAGGAGAGGTGGTGGGTGCCAAAACCAAGATGCCACAGATGTTGGAAGTATCTGACAAAGATTTTAAAGCAGCTGTTTTTTAAATGATTTCACTTGTAATTGAAACATGAAAAAAAATAGAAATCTCAAAGAAATGGAAGACATTTTAAAACTAAAAAGTACAATAGCCAAAATTTTAAAAGTCTGCTTGACACCACAATGGAAAGAGTAGAGGGACAAGAATCAGTGGACTTGAACAACAGAAAATGCCCAGCCTTAGCAGTAGAGAATAGCCTGAAAAATTAAAACAAAGAGATCATCACTGATCTTTGGGACTATTTCTGAAAGTTCTGACATTTGTGTCATCAGTGTCCCAGGAAGAAAGAAGAGAGTCTGATTGAAAAGACAGTTGAAGAAGTAATAGCTTTGTACCAGTGTGGTAGTGCATACTTGTAAACCCAGCTACTTGCAGGCTCAGGCAGGAGAATTGCAAGTTCAAGGCCAGCGTGGACAAATTAGTGAGATTCTGTTTCAAATTTTTTTTAAAAAGTTGGAAATATTACTCACTGCTCCCTGGATTCAAGCCCTGGTTGGGCAGGGTTGGGGGGAGCTTCAAATTTCCCAGTCTGGGAAAGGATATATTCAGAAAGAATTTAAGCAAACTGAATAAGAAAAACATCAATTTCAAGATACATCATAATCAAACTTCTGAAAACTAAAAACAATGACAAATTTTGGCAGGTAGGTAGGCAGGAAGGAATTTATGCATATTAGTTTTTATACAGCATCATGTTTTATTTAAAATCATTTTTTTTGACCATTGAGGAATAAAGTTATATAATCTACAAATAGTGATAGCGCTGGTTATGTTTTCAATCTTTTTTTTTTTTTTTTTTTTGGTACGGGGGGATTGAACTTGGGACCTTGACCTTGTGAGGCCGGCAGCAGAACCACTGAGCTGAATCCCCGGCCCCTATCTTTTCAATCTTTATACCACTAATTTATTTCTCTTTTATAATTGTGTGGCTAATGCTTTCCCATCACTTTCACATCGTGGCACATACAGGAAATTATAATCTTTTAGTGAACATTAAGATAGATAGGAAATGGGGACAGAGATGATCAGCATGAGATCTAACTGCCCTAGGCCTTGTCTGTCTTATCTGAAATGGGTTGAGAAAAAGCCCCTACACTTCTCCAAAAACAACGTTTAAAAGACAAAAGTAATGATCAAGAACTTATCTTGTACCTGACTTCAGTGGGAATGCTTTTTTAAAAAAATTAAAGTAATAGCTTCATTGAATTAAATTTTGCATACTATACAATTTACAAACTTAAATTGTACAATGCAGTAGATTTTTAGCATATTGACAGAGTTGTACCACCAGGACCACAATCAAATTTAGATCATTTTTGTTATCTCAAAGCAAAACATTCTACCCACCAGCTGTCATCTTCCAGTTTGTCCTCCCCCTAAATCTAGGCAACCACTGAGCTATATGTTCACCTTTATAGATTTTTCCTATTCTGGAAAATATTTTTAAATTCAAAATTGACCATGCTCTTAGCAACAATAAAGACATTAACATATCCAAAGAAATGGAAATCCTGCAAAATGAACTCTCACGTCACATTGGAGTAAAACTAGAAACCAACAGCAGAAACATACTTAGAATAGTTTTTTCTCTATTACCTGTATTTTATTTCATATTTTATTTATATATTAACTTTTTCATACAAGGGAAAATGCAATGTTCAAGCTTGCGTGTCTGGTTTACTTCACTTAACATTATGATCTCAAGATGCATCCATTTTCCTACAAATACCTCAAGTTTATCTTTCATTATGGCAGAGTACTCCCTTGTGTATAAATATATTTTATCCATTCATCTATTGGTGGGTACATAGCCTGTTCGCAAGATTTAGCTATTCTGAATTGTCCTGCCATAAACATGGGTATATAGTGAGGCTATTTCTTTAGTACTATTTCATTAACTTAATGCTAGTTTAGGGTCTAAACTAGATCTGTTTTGGCTTATTAAGGAAGTATCCATTCACTCCTATTTTATCAAGGGGATTTTAGTCAAAAATGGATTTTTAATCAATATTTCTTAAACATTGCTGCTGTATATCAGGCTTTGAGACTAAAAGGATAAAATAAAAGAGATGCAGTATTAAAAAGAATGCAAGTCCATTCTTGGATTGTGTTTCCATCGTGTGTCATATGACTGTATCAAAATTTAAATTAGGGAGAAGCTTGGCTTATGTGGAGTCTGCTAGCTAACTAGTTTTTTTCCAGGCCACTTATTTGTTCAATGTTGGTTTTGGAGATCTTTCTGAAACAAATTACATCCTCTGGTGTCTTCTTGGTGCTTGAGATGCTTTTTTAAGTTATATGGAAAAATGTTTAAGTGCTTTTCAGTTTTGTTTTGGTTGAATTCTACTGTATATGAATATTATTGTAGTTTTTTTTCCCTTGCATTGTTCTTCTTTGAATGGTTTTCATTTTTGTATGTGTGTGTGTTTGATAATAAAGTTATTTTTTTAAAATGCAAATCCAAATAGACTTTGGTTCCAATCTGTCCACACTACATGTACTAGCATTGAGACTTCAAGCAGAGGTCATTTAATTATTTAGAACCTTAGTGTATTTATCTGGAAAATGGAACTAATGGAACTTCAAGGTTGTTATTGTTACATGATTCTACACTTAAAGGAACATGCACTCCAATAGAGAGAGACATATATCGAGGAGAGGAGAAAGAATGAGCTGTGGTCATATAAAGGAGTGTTCTTTCTAGCTTAAAGAGAATTGGCAAGCTTTACAGAGGAGGAAGTGTTTAAATGGGACACTGAAAGATGAATGGGGGGGAACACAATGTCTGTGAAAATTACACTTTCAGAAAACTAGTTCAGAATAATTAGACCATAATTAAATGACAGAGACTAGAGTGGCAGACGGATATGAGTACAACAGGCCTTTAGTATGTGCTGCCCTGAAGATTGTGGACTAAAGTGACTCAGGTGTTGAAGAGCATTCACACATCAGGTTTGCAGGTGGTGAGTGTATTCAGTGAACAGAAGAAAGATGCCTTAAGCTGTTGCATTTCAGGGAGGCAATACGAAGGAATAGGTTGGGACTCAAGAAGAGGTGATAGAATTGAAATAGAATCAACAAGACCTAAAGACTTCAGGCCATCCAGAAAGAAAGAGTAAATAGTAATTCCCATGTTTTCGGGCTTGGTAGACTGAAGTGAATGGTGAATGTCTTCATTAAGGTAGTAGTACAAGGTGGAAGAAAATACAGAAGAGGTAGATAGTGAATTAACTTTCCTGTGGCCAATTTTAATTGGAGAAAAAAATACTCTAAAAATTACAAGGATAAATTGTTCACTTTTTCTATTGGAAAATAAAATTGTCTTAATATTACATGTTCTGTCATATGCAGCAGCTAAGAAAGTTGATCTCAAGAGACTAGAATAGTAATTACTACAAGAAGCTAGAAAGGGTGGAGGGGAAGAAGAAAGGGGCGTTTGTTAAATGTATACCAGAGCAGTTAGAAGGAATAAGTGCTTGTGTTTGAAGACTAAACACAAGGAAATGGTCAGGGCCAGGGATGTGGCTCAGTGGTGCCACGCCTGCCTGGCAAGCGAAAGGTCCTGAGTTTAATCCCAGGTACTGCCCCCCCATGGTAGATATGTAAGGACCTACAAATAGTTTGATTAGAAATCATTACACATTGTGTAATGTTGTCCCTCCTAAATACAGTGGGCCCTCGAGTTTCAACTGGCCTGCCATATGAACAGTTTGGGGTTATAACCAGAATTTTAGTTTCAACTTAACGACCTGAATGTCAGCCCCTTGTGCTTCCAGATGGTCTCTGATATAGATTTAACCCTTAAAGAGTTCTAGAAGGAACATTACAACATCTTTTTCCTGTATGGGGTTAATTGACAAATCATGGGCTGAGGTCTACTGGGAAGAAAGTGTGGCCTAAAATTATACAGGAGAGAGACTTTGAAATCTGTGTATAGGAGACGGAGCCTTCAATTGATTGACTTGAGTTACAACCAGCCCTTGCTAATAAATTGAGTTCATAAGTCAAGGGTCCACTGTATACATAATATGTTTTAGATAAGGAAAATTTATCTTGCATGTAGCTTTCACAAGGAAGTTGGTGAAGTACATTATACTGTAGACTAATGAATATGGTAAATTATAGTATTGCAGAGGACAGTCCTGTTCATTTTGCAGGATTATTAAGGAAAGAGCTGAAGAAAATATTGCAGACTAATGAAGGTCTAAAAAAGGTTTTAGATGATTATACTGTTAATGATAAAGAATTTGAATTTGGGGCCAGGGATTTAGCACAGTGGTTCTGCCACCTGCCTCACAAGCGCAAGTTCGATCCCCAGTACCAAAAAAAAAGACTCGTTCCTTCCTGTCCCCATTCCCTTGTTTATATAGATCTTCTTAGGGTAAGCAGCTCTATACCCATGACTTCAGTTACTTTGTATATCCTTTGATAAAAATCTTTGGGCCAGGGATTTAGCTCAGTGGTTCCACCACCTGCCTTGCAAGTGCAAGGTCCCAAGTTCAATCCCCGGTACCGAAAAAAAAAAAAAGAATTTAAATTTTAGCATTTTTATGTTTTTGAAGTTTTATAAAGATGATATTAAGGTGAATATTCAATCTGAAATAAAACTTACGTACAAAAATGTTTAAAGTGTATTTATTCACTGTTTTTTCTTCTATTCTAGTTACAATTTCTGGAAATGAAGAAAATGGTAAGGCACTTTTGGTCTCATTTTAAGTAGAATGTTTATGGCATCTTAATTGGAACTTACCTACTTTTTATTTAGTGATGAATTACAGGTGTTTTTGTTTTCAAAAAGAATATGTGAGTGGCCCGGGGATTTAGCTCAGTGGTTCTGCTGCCTGCCTTGCAAGCACAAGGTCCTGAGTTCGATTTCTGGTACCAAAAAAATAAAAATAAAGAATATGTGAGTCAGATGCAATTACATATGCCTTTAGACTCAGAACTCGGGAGGCAGAGACAAAAGGATCACTTTAGTTCATGAGGTTGAAGCCAGCCTAGGTAACATTGCAAGACCATGTCTTAAAAAAAAAAAAAAAGCAAAGCAAATATGTATCTTTAAAATTTGAGTACTTGGATTCAATCATCAAGTTAGTGTATTCTCATCTTGTTATTTACATGAATTGAAGTAGCTGTTATTTTGTAATGCACCTAGTGTTCAAACTCTTTGTGTAAGTTTATGTATTTCTGCATGTATGTTCATCATAACTCCAGATTTAGATTCTTTAATATGAGTTCTAGCTGGATTGAGGAGGAGATTCTCCTTTCATGATATCCAAATCTTATCGATGGTTCTCTTTGTTTATGAACTTGTTTAAAATAGCACATACATAGATTTAATAAAATAACCAGACTTTGAATTTGTAAATTGTATTATTACTAGGTCAAAAGAATTAAAGTTTTTATAATGACTAGCCAAAGAGACAGGGGAAAATCTTTTCTCAAAGTTTAACCTAAATAAAAGAGTATTTTAGAAATCCATTGAGATCAAATTTCAGAAACTGTTTATTCATTCCCTACTGGGGATTGAACCCAGGTCCTTTGCACTGAGCTATATCCTCAGTCCTTTTTTATTTTTTATTTTGAGATTGTCACTAAGTTGCTTGAACTTGCAATCCTGCCTCACTCTCCCCCAAAGTGCTAGGATTACAGGTGTGCACCACCATGCCTCACTACGAAATTTGATTTTAACATACACAAATCCAGAGAATTTCTCAGATAGTTGGAGAGTCAGACATTATTAATAAATATTTATTACTGGAGATCATCAAGCATTACTAAGTATTAAATCTCACATAAACCTGTAGGTCTCATTTTTCAGTAACAGAAGAAACAGCAGTCTTGGTAGTCCTATCTTACTCTATAACTGTGTGCTGGGTGTTGAAAGTGCAAATATAGAAAGTAGAGAATTTCAGTTAGATATCATGGCACACCTGTAATCCCAGCACTCTGGAAGTTTGCAGTCTGAGGCAGAGGAGCAAAAGTTCAAGCCTAGTCTGAGCAACTTAGTGAGACCCTGTCTCAAAAAAAAATGAATTTCAGAAGTTCTTACAAAAGAACTTTTAATTTTCTGTTATTTCTTGGGATTATTTTTTACTAAGTCTCTCAATTTTTAATTTTTTTTTAATTTAGTTACTGATGATTTTTGAACACAGGCTTTGATTTATAGGTTCAGATTTTTCTTTGAGCTTTGATTTAATTTGCTTAGTTAACATAAGATTTTACTTCATATATTACAGCCAATGGCTTATAGTATGTACGTGTGATCAGAAGTTTGCTTATTAAGTCACATGACTTTGAGCTTTGGTGTATATATATTTTATATTATTTATTATAACTTAAGAGTTATCTGTTCAGTACTTACTGTATTAGGCATCGTGGTCAGAGATTAATTTTATGTTTTTTATTTAACTGAGCATGTATTTTAAAGCATATCATTTTTGTTTTGTGCTCATAGAAAAAAAATCATTTTAAAATATATTAAATATTAAGAAATATTTCAAGAGTCTATTGTTTTATATAGCAGTCTTGGTTGTAACTGAATGATTAAGAAATTTAAGGTACCTAAACCTTATTTCCATTTATCTGGAAGCTATACAGTAGTATATAGATGAGAAATGATAAGCTCGGTTGACTACGGAGTCCAGGCAAAAAATAATGGAAATGAGCTAAGTGAAGAAAAAAAAAGAAACACCAATTTTGAGTCCATTGTGTAGTCCATAAGGTTTATCTGGAGGAAGCTAACAGCATAGAGCAGTGGTGGCAAACCTATGGCATGTGTGTGTTTTAAGACAAAAGATGCTAATATTTCTGTTATTTTTTCTCAACTAAAACCTTAGTATTCTGGCTTAATTGTAGTGTTGGTACTTTGCTATAAATAAATGGGTTTTGGGTTGCAGTTCAGGCACTCGTCTCTGAAAGGTTGGCTATCACTGGCATAGAGGAGTTCAGATTTTTAGAAGCCAGAATGTTCTGTGTTTATGACAGTTAGTATAGTGGAAGTGAAAAGAGCACATTTGAAAATGGATGGAAGTTACTAGGGTTTTATCTTGGCATCAGATGTTGCCTTAGAATGTGACCATTTGTGGTTAAAAAGTGAGAAAATACAATTTTAGGGATGACATAGTGAAAATAACCTTGGAGTTTTTATCAAGCAGATACAGTTTGAATTCTGGCTTTATCACTTAGTAACTAATATTGGACAGGGTACTAAATTTAAATTCTCTTAGCCTCAGTCAACTTAAAGAATACCTTATTTGTCAGCTTAAAGAATACCTTATAAGACTACTGTGAGAGTTGGAAATAAATCACTAAACGTAAATGGTTATTTTGAGTAGCTATAGTCAGATATGGTGACTAGGAAGTCCCAGAGTTTTATCAGAATACATTGGACGTGCAGATGGAGTTACTTTCTAGGAATTTCACAGTCAAGAGGGAGAAGAAACTAGGACAGTACATTTCATATTGGCCGTGGAGAGGGATTGGAAGCAAGAGAGACCTTAAGAAAAGAGACCAGTGGCTTTGGCAATAATCCGGATGGAATGGACATCCATGCGTGGCAGTAAAATAGTGAGGAGTTAGTTCACTTTGAAAGAAATTTTAGGAGTGAGAATTGGAAGTAATTGTACTGATTAGCCTGGAAAGATGGAGAGGCATTTGAGCCCTGTGTTTCTGCATTAGTCAGTCTCCTGTGGGACTGGGGTTCTGGTCCCTAAAATCTGCCATGGGCCAGTAGAATTTCAAAAGAAAATGTTGGGTTCCAACAGGATTGTCAGCTTTTAAAATCATTATTATTTTATCTAAAGGGAACGAGTATTTTAAACCAGAATTATAGGGAAAAATAACCTAATAAAGATGAGCACTACATTGTTAAGAATGTTTCTCACTTCACTGCAGAACAGTGAAAACTTCATCAGATCTCAAACATTAGAAACACTGGAATAGGGAATGTACAGAAAGAACTAGATTCAGGAGAGAAGGACTAAAATGCCTGGGTAGTGATTGTAATAATAGCCAATATTTATTGAGGATCTATTATGTTCCAGGCACTGTTCTAAGTATTTTTCATATTTATCAGCAACTTTATTGAAACAAGTGCTTTATTTGAAGTCCAAGCAAATTGTTTGGGGAATGCGGTATAAAGAGGTAATGAATTCTCAAAGTAATGAAGACTACTACCATGTTGAAGATTTGATCTAACCCTTAATAATGAGTAGAATTTCAAGCTTTTACACTTTGTCTGTAATTTGTCATGTTCAGTGAGTCTGTGGTACTGCATCCTAAACTGAAAGAGTTCGAGCAGCTGGTAGATAATTCTTACTTCTTATAGAAACCAGTCCTTCTTGGGGCTGGGGATTTAGCTCAGTGGTTCTGCTGCCTGCCTTGCAAGTGCAAGGTCCCAAGTTCGATCCCTGGTACCAAAAAAAGAGAAACCAGTCCTTCTTCTTTGATGTAGAAAAACTATACACCACACACATATACATACCACACAAGCACAAAGAAGCTTAGAGTTCTGTCAGTGCGTTAATATTTGGAGATAAAGATGTTAGAATGTTACACTGATCCACGGAGGGGACAGCTGTGGTGGGAATGCAGCGTGGTTGAAAGTTTTTCTTTTTAGCCTGTATTGCATGAGAAGATGAAATTTAGGGTACATTTCTTGTACAATAAAGATTGAGTTACTCAAATTTACTCATTATTCTTCGTTATGGTAGCTTCCTTTATTTTCAATTTATAATTTCTTGGATTTGATAGTCACAGTGATGGATAGTTTCAAACAGTTTTTTTTTTTGGTACTGGGGATCGAACTCAGGTCCTTCTGCTTGCGAGGCAGGTGCGGTGCCGCTGAGCTAAATCCCTGGCCCAGTTTTAAATAATTTTTAAATTATTTAAAATTAATGTTTAGGAGCCAGGTGTGGTGGCTCATGCCTATAGTCCCAGCACTCAGGAGGCTGAGGCAGGAAGATCACTACAAGTTCGAGGCCATTGTGGGCTACCTAGTGAGTCCAAGGCCAGCCTGAACTGCACAGTGAGACCCTGTCTCAAAAAACCCCAAAAATTAATGTTTAGGGAAATCTTGAAATTGAGTGAGTAAAGGAAGTGTTTATAGCTTAAATTCTCAGTAACTTAATAAACCAGGCTGATAATCCTTTAATATAGGAACAGAACATTTCTTCGTGTCTAGTAACGTTGTATTATGTATATAAAGAAGTTTATATTTTGAAGTTTTAATAGATCTTACTTAAATTTTTATTAGATTAAGTCTGCTGATCCAAATACTGTGTTTTAATGTAATGCTTTTTCCTGTTTTCACCTGGATTCAATGAAACATTATTTGTTTTTATTTACCAGGAAAGACCGTTGTTTACCTTGTGGCTTTCCATCTGTTCTTTGTTATGTTTGTATGGTCCTATTGGATGACAATATTCACATCTCCCGCTACCCCTTCCAAAGAGGTAAATTTAATGTTGGTAAATTACCAAATGCTTTAACTTATTATGGAATTGTTTTCCCTTGTGTTACCTATGTTAAAATTATGTAATACATTTGTTGTGTTTCCATTCATAAAATTGCTTAATAAATCCACATTATGAATGTCAGTCACCAACCTATTCTCAGATACAATTCGCTGACACAGCATAGTAAAAGTCTAATAATACTTTCCTGCCATGCCATGTTTTCTTAAAGACGTGTACTTTATATTACTGAAGTAAAAACACTTTAGGGACAGAATTGAGTTAGAGGAGTAGAGTTTATATCCTTTCAAGCATGAACAGCTATGCTGGAACTAAAGAAAATGTTAAATTGTGGGGGAAAATTGTTCAGGCTATTGCTTGCCACCCTTTATTAAGATTAGTTTTTCTCCTAACTAGAGGTTCCACTTGGAAAATAATATAGGTAAACATTTATGTACAGTAGGTTGAATTCTTCCTTCACTGAAAATTTAGTGCAACAAGATCATTAAGAATATTTACTCTAGGGCCGGGGATTTAGCTCAGTGGTGCTGCCACCTGCCTCGTAAGCGCACGATCCTGAGTTCGACCCCAGGTACCAAAAAAAAAAATTTACTCTAGAATCAATCTAGAATCTAGGATTGGCTGAGTTTGATTTCCTGCTCTTACATATTACATAATCTCTCCGACCTTCAATTTTCATCAGAAAATGGAGCAAACAATTGTGCCTTTTGCTGTACAGTATTTTTGAGGGTTCAGATTTCTCAAAGTAAACCTAACTTAGCACCTACCACATCATTAGTACTCAAAAATTAGATCATGCTTGTAATTGTTTCCCTTCACGTTTTTTCAAAATTCATTAAAATGTAGTTAAAAGTAATATATTTTACTTTTTAATGGAAAACATATGCAGAAAAGTATACATGTCATAAGTATACACATGGTGAAATTTCATGAACTGAATAAATACATCTGTGTAACCACCACCCAGCCAGGTTCAAGAAACAACATTCCCAGTGTCCCATCAGCCTCTTCATGCTTCCTTCCAGTTACCAATATCATGAGAAACCACTCTCCCACCTAATGGCATAGATTAATTTTGCTTGTTTTTGTACTTCCTAGGAATAGTCTTGTAGGAGTGTATATAGTACTAATAATCCACTGTTAATGTGTATGCCTTCTTCCATTATTACTGTTTTATTTGTGAGATTAATTTGTGTTGTTACAGTTGTTGGTCATTCACTTTCATTATTGTTTAGTACTCAGTTGTAGTATGTAATATAATTTTACCAGTCTGCCATAGATGGGCATTTGAAAGAATTTCACTTTAGAGCTGTTAGAAATGGGGCTGCAGTAAACATCCTAGTGCATTTCTCTTGGGAAATATATATGTAATTCTTTTGGGTAGATCCCTGGGAGGAAACTGCTGAATCATATTAACTGTGCATTCAAAATTTTAAAAAAAATTTTAATTTTGTGAGACAGTGTCTCACTATATAGTTCATCCTGGCCTTGAACTCACTATGCAGCCCAGGCTGGCCTCAAACTCATGGCAGTCCTCCTGCCTTCGCCTCCCGTGTGCTGGGATTACAGGCGTGTGCCACACATGGCTCAAAATTAGTAGAAATGGTCACATAGTCATTTACCCCTTTTTCTTCTGGATGCATGCTTTTGTTTTGAGAGGTAAAAATAAACCATAAATCAAACTTAATGTTTCATTATAGATATTATTTGAGCATTGGCAGTAGTCAGTCAACTGTTAAAGTTGTGTTACAAACTACTATCCATTTCTTGATCTTTAAGTTGAAAAAGGACCTAATTTTACTTACTCAATTACTAGTAATAATGGCCATTGAAAACAGAGCCTGTGTAAAAAGTAAATATAGAGATGTTCCAGTAATACCAATAGAAAAAAGAAAACAATTTGTAATATATTTGAGAAGGAGAGTATTGTAGAGGTTGAGAGCTCAAATTCTGGAACCAAACCATTTGCTTGCAGTGTGAATCTAGAGACTTTGCTTAATCCTGCCTCTAAAGTAAGGCGGCACAGTACATACCCCATGAAATTAAAGGGAGCACTGAATGAATCAACTCTATGTAGATAGTTTAATTTACGTAATAAATATTATATGTAAAGTGCTTAATGCTTAACACATCAGTACTGTCTAAATGTTATTTTTCTTTTTCTGTTATTGTTTTAGCATACTGCATTCAAGACTTTATATTCATTCTACCCTTCATCTTTACTCCTGTAAATTCATCTGACTGCTCAAGCTTTATCTAGCAGCATTCTACATTTACCCTGTCAAAGAATTTATCATCTAGTGTTGTAATTGCATCTTTACTTTTATGCATCACCTAATTAAATTGTGAACTCTGTGAAGACAGGGATGGATATTGCCATCATATTTGCTGTTGTCCCCCCAGCCCCTGCCACCAATCTGGCATATATAGTAGCTGTTCAGTAAGTGTTGAAATAATTATTAAATTATGAAATGCTGGAGAGCCAGCTAAGTTCAGCTCTAGTGACAGCCAAGTACAAGAATGTAAGATCCTCTTGTTCACTAAGCTTACATGATGCTGACTGAGATGTGCCGTGAAGGCAGTCACAATGCTGAGGTTGGTGCTAATGCAGCTGTCTTAAGAGGGCCCTAGTTCAGAAGTTACAGTGACATTTTGGAGTCATACCCAGGAGAACTGATTGGGTAAAAAATCAAAAAGTAAGTTTTTAGAGAAGTTATAAAAAAGATTTTTCACCCATTTTTTTCAATTAGGAACTTATTGAATACATGTCTGACTTTGATCTAGATTCAGAGGATAAAAAAACTAGTCTTCACATTTTACAGGCACAGACACATAGTAAATGAGCAAACAGATAATAATTGCAAATTGTGATAAATTTATAAAATTGAGATAAATTTAGGAAGAAGAGCATCTGCCTAATATATTTCTCAGATTATATTTCTATCACGTGTCATATGACTATTGAAATTTAAATTAAAAAAAAATTTGGCCTATGTGGAACCTACTACCTAACTAGAATTTTTATTTCCAGACCACTGTTTGTTCAATATTGGTTTTGAAAATCTTTTTAAAACAAATCACATCCTCTGATGTCTTGTTAGTGCTTAAGATGTTTTTTAAAATTATATGGAAAAATATTTAAGTACTTTTCAGTTTTGTTTTGGTTGAGTTCTACTATATTTGAATATTATTATAGTTTTCTTCCCTTGCGTTGTTTTTCTTTGAATAATTTTAATTTTTGTATATGTGTGTGTTTGATAATAAAGTTATACATTTTAAAATTTTAAAAAAGGGAACATCATATGGTAGAGCATAGCTCCTTTAGGGAGAAAAAAGCTCCTTTAGGTAGCGTGACCAAAGAAATCCTCTCTAAGGAAATGGCATCCAAGCTAGGACCTTTGAAAGTATCTCTAGGAAAAATCTGTTTTACTATTTTATCCCCATTACCTAGATTAGACCTAATATATACTAGGTAAATTGATAGAAACCTGAATGGAGGGATAATGAGAAGGAGGCAGCATGTGAATAGCTGGGTGGTAGACATCTCCCATCACCAGATGTCATCTTTTCTAAAGAGATGATATGGTCCCATCACTCTCTGGTTGTAATCCTTAAGGTTGCCAGTCTACATGAGATAAAGATCATGCCCACTTGCATAGTACCCAGAAGTCTCCATGAACTAAGTTTACTAACCTCATCTCCACTGCTTCTGTGTGGAGCTCTACACCTGTGTTTTGCCCTGAACGCGGCATGTGTTTTCTCTTCCTTATGCTTTCCGTGCTTCCCATTTCCTTTGAAGACTGGTGTTCATCTTCCAGAGGCCAGTTTAGGTACTACATCTCCAACACAGTTTCATTGACCAGCTACTCCTGCTTCCCAACGGACCTTTCATTGCACTTGGAAATATATTGGTTGTGTACTTACACTGATTTGTATTTTGCAATTCTTTGCTTTCATTGCTAACTTTCCTAGTAGACTGAGAGATGTGGTTCTTTTTTTTTTTTTTTTCCTTCAGTTTTTTGAGTCTTACTATCTAGTTCAGCCTGGCCTTGGCTGCAATCTTCCTGTCTCAGCATCCCAAGTGCTGGAATTATAGGCAAACACCATCACGCTGGGCTGAGAATTTGTTTTTTAAAGGCAAGGCTTTTTTTTAATTGGTGGTACTGGGATTGAAGGCACGGCGCCACTGAGCTAAATCTCCACCAAGGTAAGGCTTTTTATTGAGATTTGGATTTAGGATCTGAGCCAGAGTCTAACTCTTAATTAGTATTTTATATATATTTATGACCAAGCACTGTGGCATGTCCTTGTACTCAGGAGGCTGAGGCAAGGACATCACTTTAATCTAGGAGTTTGAGGCCACTGTGTTTCCTGGGAAACATGGTAACACACTGTTTCAGTCAATCATTCAATCAGTCGGTAACAGTGCTTTTAAAAAATATTTTTAATTATTTTGATGCTGAAGGTTGAACTCAGTGCATTGTGCATACTGTGAATGCAGTCACTGAGATACACTCCCCTAGCCTAATATATGCTTAAACACTGAACTGAAGATAATAGCCTGGCGTGGTGGCACATACCTATAATCCCAGCACTTGAGAGACTGAGACAGTAGGATCCCAGTGAGTTCGAGGCCAACCTGGGCTACATAGTGAGTTCAGGGTCAGCCTGAACTACATATCAAGACCTTGTTACCCCCCCAACACCCTAAACCCCAAAAAAGATGGTAATGCCGTTTCACAAATGTGATTTATATTAAATAGTGTTGAGTGAAAATAGACTTAATGGTAATTTCAAAACTCTAATAATTTAATTTTTGTTTTCTTCCATTCCTTATTTAAAATTCTGTTGTCTCTTGAAGTTTTCATTTAAGCTTTTCATTATTTTATAGACTTAATTAAAGAAAAGTAATGATAATGAATAGAAGAGTATCAAGCTGAGGTCTGGGATACTACCTCAGACTAGAAATAGTATAACCCAAGGAAATCTGTTGAGATTTTACAAGAAAACTAAAGTTTGGTTAGATCGTCTTGTATATACTTGACATTGTACTACGTGCTTTTTTTTTCTATCTCTGAAAGCATTTAGGAGAAGGTAAATATGTCAGAAATGCCTAAAGAGCTCAGCCTGTGGTAGGAGATAAGGGACCTTAAAAATTTTCACGTTTAAGATGTGAATCTTTCTGGCTGCTTTGTATACTGTTATTTTGATTGTGGAAGCCAAGCTAAGTACATCTAAATAGACTCTTCTACTTCCTGAATTACAGTGTTTTACTCAGGTTAGATTAACAATCTATAAAAACCCAGAACTCACCCTGAGTTCGATCCTGCCTTGTGAGGCAGGCGGTGGAACCACTGAGCTAAATCCTGGGCCCTAGACTTTTTAAATAAAAATCTTACAAGTAAATAAAAATTGAAGAGCAGTGTTGTTAAAAATACAAAATGTGATTAAGAGCAAGTCTTAAGCCATTTTTAGTTACAAAGAAAATGTGAAATAGACTGTTAGAAACTTAAAAGTTCCTGGTTACATGAAACCAAGGCATGAGAAGGAGGGCCCTCAAGATGCTGGATGAGTAAGAAAAGAAGAGCAGTGGACAAGTATTTGGTAGGTGAAATGTTATTGGAAGAAACGAACTAGAGACTGGCTGCATTGTGACAGCAAACATTGGGACAGCAAGAAACAGCTTTATAAAGGAATCTCTCCTTGACAAAAGGAGGCTGTTCTTGCCTTAGCAATCCTTGATAATTGTGGAGAAAGTAGTGCTGTTCGTTAGCTTTTGAAAAGTTAAAAATGTTGAAAGAAAATAAGGACTTGTTGACCTCATTGAGATGTGTAGCCAAAAAGTAGCAGATGAAGAAGCTTTGGACATTCTTCTAAAAATTAAATATTACCTGGCAGTAACTTTTTTTGGTCCTGGGGATCAAACTCTGGACCTTGTGCTTGTGAGGCAAGTGGCGGCACCACTGAGCTAAATCCCGGGCCCAGGACAGTGACTTTTAAACAACACATTTTTACCTAAGGAAAAAAGTGTGTGCGTGCATGTGTGTATATGTGCGCATGTGTATGTGTGCGTGTGTTTTCCTCTTTTCTCTTTTGGTGTTGCTGGAAATTGAACTCAGTGCCTTATGCATACCAAACCAGGGCTGGACCCACTGAGTTATACCCCTAATCCTAAGTAAAATATGTATTAAGACATTTTAGGGGGCTGGGAATACTCTGGGTTTAACACGTTCCTGCCAGCTTGAACCTCTGGTAGTACATGTGTGACTATCTCATTGGGTGCCTTCTACCACCCACGGGACTGTCCCATGATACCCAATGGAACAGTCACACAGGTACCACTGGTGCTTCAGAGCCATCCATAGCAAGGCGTACGAATTACAGCCCCATTGTGAATATGTTAAGCCTCAGTGCACTCCCCCCAATTTTTTTTTTGTATTAAATTCTTTTATTGGTACATTGTAGGTATACAACACAATTACATTTCTCATTGGGAATTGTACCTTTACATGATGCATCTTGGTTCTTATTTTTTCCCCATTCCTAGCCCTCCCTTCACGCCCTCCACCCTTCCCTATTTACAAAGACTTTATTTCTATTTTTTCCATTTCTCCGCATTTTTCCTTTCCCTTCTTTCCTTTCCCCTGCCCCTCCCACTACCCCTACCCCTTTGGACCTTTTCTTCCTATTTTGCATTATCGATTATTCATTCTAATCATTGGTACATTTTAGGTATACAGTATAATGACATTCCTCATTGGAAATTTGCACCTTTACATAGTCTCTCTTGGTTCTTATTTTTCACCCTTGCCCAGCCCTCCCTTCAACCCCTCCATTCCTCCCTGTTTACAAAGATTTTTTTCCTCTTTTTCCATTTTCTCATATTAATCCCATTCCCTTCTATCCTTTCCCCTAGCCCTCCCACTTTCTTCCCCTTTGCCCCTTTTCTTCCTATTTCACATTACCTATTACACATTTAGTCCTTATTTACACTTTCAGTTTCTCACACCAGAGAAACTATTCGGTATTTATACATGTGTGTCCTATTTATTTCATTTAAGAGTATTGCCTCAATGTGCATCCACTTAGCTATAAATGTCTCTAATTTCTCATTTTTTATGGCTGAGTAGTACTCCATTATATAAAAAACCACATTTTCTTTATCCAGTCTCCAGTTGATGGGCATTTGGGCTGTTTCCAAGTTTTAGCTATTACAAATTGTGCTGCTATGAACATGGGTGCACATATATCACTGTGGTATGATTCTTTTAATTCTTTGGGGAAGATCCCCAGCAGGGGAATAGCGGGGTCAAATGGGATTTCCAGTCCTGGTTCTTTGAGGTATCTCCATACTGATTTCCACAGTGCTTGCACCAGTCTACACTCCCACCAGTAGTGGAGCAGGGTTCCTCTTTACCCACAGCCCTACCAGCATTTGTTATTGGTTGATTTCATAATAGCAGCCTTTCTTTCTGGAGTGAAGTGGAATCTCAGCGTTGTTTTCATTTGCATCTCTTAAATGACTAGTGATGTTGAACATTTTTTCATGTATTTATTTGCTATTTCTACTTCTTTGTTTGAGAAATGTCTGTTCATTTCAGATGCCCATTTTCGGATTGGGTCTTTAAATTTGGGAGGTCTGATCTTTTTAAGTTCTTTATAGATTCTAGATAGTAGACCTTTGTCTGAGGAAGAGCAGGTGAAGATATTTTCCCACATTGTGAGTTGTCTCTTCACACTGCTGGTGGTTTCTCTTGCTGTGCAGAAGCCTTTTAATAAGAAGAGATCCCATTTGTTGATTGTTTGTGCTAGTTCACAGGCAACTGAGGTTTTGTTCATAAAATCTTTTCCTACACCGATGTCTTCAAGGGTTCTACCTAACCTCTGTTCCAACTGGTTCAGAGTTTCTATTTTAATATTTAGATCTTTAGTCCATTTTGATTTTAGTTTAGTGCATGGTGAGAGATACAGGTCTAGTTTTAATCTTTCCCAAAAATGTTTTTGATGAATGAATTTAGTTTTATCTAAAAAGCAAAATGTTGAGCTTGTATCCTGTGCCATCATTGGTATGGAGGGTAAATTTTAAAAATTTGTATGTAGTTTTTGTTAAAATGTATTTGATTTATCTTAAAGTTAAGTTTGAATGTTGCCTTTAGAAAACAAAATATTTGTGGGGTATTGCTTCTGTTCTAGATAAAACTTTCTGAGCATGAAAATTAACATCTTGGGATTAAAAAATATTTAATAGTTTTCTCTTTTTATAGTTCTACTTGTCCACTTCTGAAAAGGAACGTTACGAAAAGGAATTTAGCCAAGAAAGACAACAAGAAATTTTGAGAAGAGCAGCGAGAGATTTACCTATCTACACTACAACAGCTTCAAGAAGTAAGAAAACAAATCTTAAGCTTTCTTTCCAAAGGATGTTTAAGATGTGCTGATTTCTGCTAGGACATATTGCATGGGTTGACTACTAAGTAGGGGTTGTGATGATTGCCACAAATAACTTTTGTGGGAACAAAATTTCCTGTTTTCTGCACTTTCTGTGGTATTTCAGATAAAAGTATAGATGAATATATAAGTATATCAGTATAGATTTTAAGGGACTCACTTTCATATGAATCTCTTTTTCTTTTACTCAAACTCAACCTGGCTGAAAGTCTCAGTTGTTATCCGTAGTAAACTGTCATTTGGGGATTCTGGTTTGAAGTTGACCGTTGTGTGTCGTCACTGACTGATACAGAAAAATCAAGAGTGTGCTGCGAGTGGGACGAGGTGAAAGGCACAGAGGTGAAGGAATTGGTTCACAGGTGTGAAGCTGGTACCCTGAGGCCACGCCATGAGCTCCAGTTTGTCTGTCTGTGAAGCCCATGATGCTTCTGTGCCACGGTCTGCGCTGTCGGCCTGACCACAGAAGCTTCCTCTCGTTAGGGGTCAGCTCCTTAACAGGGAGGAGTCGTCCAGGGAACAGGGGTGACTGCGCTGACCATTGAAGTCCAGGAAATGTCTCAGTCACTTTTTCTCATTGCTGACCCAAAATACCCGACACCCAAAGTTGAAGGAGGAAAGGGTTACTTCACCTCACAGTTTGTAGACGTTCCAGCCCATAATTGGGTGTCTCCAAGGCAGGGTGGTATGGGGGGGGGGGGTCGCAGAGGAGAAACTGTTTGTAGCAGGAAGAAGGCAGCAAAGCTTCCAAGTGACAAGCAACAAGAAACAACCCTCTGTCCCTTACATCTTATTCAGGCTACCCACCCTTAATCCTAGGGTTGCACCCTTGATCCCATCATCACACAGCCTAGATCCAGCCACCTCCAAAAAGCCACACCTGTATGACTGCATGAGGCCTTGGGGGGAAATCTAGATTACATACAAGCCATAACAGGAAGTCAGATACTAGAAAGAGAGTATTGGCAGCTTAACAGTTACTCTCTACTCAATGCTTTACCCATAAGAATTCATTTAAACTTCACCACAACACTGTGAGGTACACACCATTAGTCTCTACTCTGCCCATGAGGAAACTTGAGTCACTGTTCCCAAACAACCTGGTCCCTGAATATGAGAACTGGACTTCAGGGGCTGTGAGGCTAAAGAAAAAAGCAGTGCAGTTATTTGGGGGGAATTACTGATAGAAGCTTGGTCCTGGGTGGCAGAAAGGCCAAGCCGTAAGTCAGGAATGTACTTGTATTCTGGTCAGCTATTGAGGAAACAGTGACTGGGGTTACTCAGGGGCAGTCATGGTAGTACTTACAATTCAGGATGGCTGCAGATGCAGAGAGGTTTAAGTAATTTGATCACAGTCCTATGGGCAATTTGGGATGGTGCTCTAATTCCAGAACCCTCTAGTCTCCTCAACTCCAAGGGAAAAAGAAAGAGCTCTGCCTTTGTGTAGCTGTGTACAAATTGTGACTCAAGAACATTGTGTGTGTGCATGATTTAAGGAATAGATAGATATTCGACTGACTTTTAAAACGTACTTAACACTGTTCATTTTACTATCAATATATTATAGTATAGAGTGAAAATAGGGATTGTAAATCAAACCTTAACTTTTCCATTACTATTGCTGTGCCAGTCATTTAAACTTCTAAGCCCTAGTTTCCTCATTTTAAGATGAGACTAATACTATCTATATCTCTAGGTTTGTGGAAGTATTAAATGAGATAATGTATGTAAAACATTTCATATACTATATTTTGGCATGTGATACATTTTCATCAGATTTCATTTTCAGTAAATGACAGCTAATTTAGTATAATCCTTTTTTACATTTAATTCTGAGAAGTCTAGCTTATGATAATTGTTAGTAGTTGTACTTCTATAAATTAGCAGTTTTTAACCCAGCACCTATTTTTTCAGAGAATGTATGAATCCCTGACATCATATGCAAAATTTTTGGTACATGTAGTTTCCAAAACAGCCTATTCGTGGCAAAATCATCTGTTTTCAAAGTAGTACATATGCCCCCAGAATAAAGAGATGTTGTAAAAACTTTATTCTTAAAACTTTACTACTTTTTATTTGTTATAGTGGCTTTCCTCTAATCTGAATAGCACCCATCATCTGTTATTACTCCAGACATATTCTGAGCCCTTTAACAACAGATGAGAGAATGAGTCACAACGAGGTAACCTGAGTCCCTGAGTAGCCAGGGCTAGGCCCCGTTCTTCAGCTCCATTTGGTACTACATTTCTATAATCTAGAATTCGAAATTCTGTGAGTTTCTTCTTTTTTCTTGTAATAGAAATAATACCTATTTTTTTCTTTCAGAAATAAAATTACCGAGAGGTGCATTGAAGAAAGGCCTGTGAGATACCAAGTGTTAAGTCTTAGAGGTGGAGCTGAGGGCTAGAGGACAGAGATGATAGAGACTTTGTATTGACTACTGCTGTGTCTTGTTGGTGATGTTGTTGGTTTGGTTTGGTTTGAGATGGTCTCACTTTGTAGATGGTCTCATCTTTGTAGCCCAGATTGGACCCAAACTTAAGATCCTTCTTAGTGTCCTGCGTGCTGAGATTATAGGCATGTAACACCATGCTCAGCCCTTTTTGTGCCTTTTAGAACCGTTTGAACATACTGTCCACTCAGAAAACAAAATGAATTCTTAGAAACCTCCTCTCCACGGTGTGGCTAAAACCAGCCTCTGTCTCGACTCTTTGCCACATACTGTTTCCATGTGTGAGTCTTATGCTTCAGATTGTGCTAAATCACCCTGTCCTTCCTCACTATTTTTTGTCTTTCTTTGTGTGGAATCATAATTTTCTTTTCCATAAATCCAGTTTAAAGTTTTAATTCAGCATCCATCTTTTTTCAGCCCATTTCTGTTGACTTTAGTAAGAGTGATTCTTTTGAAAGTTGACTAAACTTCTGAGAACCTTACCTTGTAGATTATAAATCATTGCCTAATTGTTATTTATGTTCTTCTCACCTCCTTGACTTTATTCTAAGCCCCCGGTGAGGAGTTTTATCCGCAGTCCCTGTACAGTGTCTCACTAAATAGACACTCAGTAGGTATTTGAATTAATCTGTTCTTGACATAATCTTTTCCTGGGTGAGGTGTGTGTGTGTGTACGTGCGCACCCGCACACCCGCATGCTTGTAGTACTGAGAATTCAACCCCAAGGCTTTCTCAACCAAACTATATCCCTGACCCTTTTGGATTTTTGAGAAAGGGTCTTTGTTAAATTGCCCTGGCTGGCTTTGAACTGTAATCTTGCTGCCTCAGTCTCCTAGGTAGCCAGGGTTACAGGCACACCCCACTGTGCCCAGCTCTGGTTATTTTCTTCCACTAATTTTCCACATCGGAGTCTGACCTAATTTTTTGTCATAAATAATGATATTTATTAGTATTAATAGCATCATGATAATAACTGATTTATGGTGAATCTGATATGGTCTAGCATTTAGTTTTAATCCTCATAATAGTCCTTATACTTGGTATTGTTTGTATTTGCAGATGAGAAATCCATGGCTTTGGTAAGTTACAGACCCAAGGTCACAAACTAGGGAGTGAAAGAACTAGTATCAGACCTAGCAGTTGACTGAACCTTGCCAGCTCCAGGACAGGGTGCTGTAGTGTGCCTTTGCAGACTAGCTTCCTGTATCTCACTTAGCTCTTTGTGTCTCCATCTTTGTTCTTACACTTACAGAGATTGATTTCTGAACATTTTCCTCGCCTTTCCCCTAGCTTTCTCTTTAAAAATCTTGCTGTATACAAGGATTATATGTCTACAGAGTGGCCAGAGATCAGCTTGTACCCTGGTGCAGCATTCTTCCTGTATTTCCAGAAGAGGAAATTACAAACTCCTGCCCCAGAACATCCAGTAACCATTACCTAGGGATTCCTCATTCATCTTGGCATGTGTCTTTCAATCCAGCATCTGTGGTTCTTACTAGAGCTTCATTCTTGTATTTCCCACTTCCAAAGTATTACTGTTCTTTTATAACCTACTGTCCAAAACTTCAAACTCATACAAAAGCAGACTTACCCATTTACAGCCTAGTCCCATGGTGGCAGGTGGCAAGGTGGCTTTGTTCACTTTTACTGTCAGTATCTAGCAGTGTTTGTCTGATGTAAAAACTCTATTGGTTGAAGGAATGAAAAAGCACTCTACCTTCACCCCGGCGAAACCTGGCTATATTTCTGTTCTTGGCACCATTAGCTGCCTTTGACAAGAAACCCAAGTTTCCTTTGATAGCTACTTTTATAGAGACCCAAATAGTAGTTACCAAACTCTGTCTTCTGAGGTCTGTGTAGTTTCATCCCATCCCAGAGCCTTGGTATTTCATAACTTCCATGCTGACAGGATGTCTAGTGGAGGATGCAGAGGAGAGGGAAAGGAAGGTCCTTGCCTCCTGCTCAGGGCTTCCTGTTCATTTAGCGTGTAACTTTGGGCAGGTTATTTTCACTCTCTGGTTGTCAGTATGTTTTTATCTATGAAATGAAGAGATTGAACTAGAAACCTGAAAGGCTTTTTGTTTATAGTCCTACACTATATGGTTGTCTCTCCCTAATGCCTAGCCCAGGCAAGATAATATTGAAAAGACAGGCCGGGGATTTAGCTCAGTGGTTCCGCCGCCTGCCTCGCAAGCGCAAGGACCCAAGTTTGATCCCCGGTACCACAAAAAAAAAAAAAAAAAAAAATTGCAAAGACTGTAAATAAAACGTAACTTATTCTTGCGTAAATTCCCTTCATCCTAAAGAAATTTTTGTTTAAATTAGAACATGATTTGAAAAAAAAAAAATGTTTAAGAACACCAAGTGAAAAATCTATCCCTCCTCCCTGGCAAGACTTCCCAGAGGCACTGTCTTATGTGTCATATCAGAAATGTTTTATACATAATAGAGCATTGCAAAACTAATGTGTACACAATTAACAAATAGGATTGATAAAATATTAACTAGTGCAGATTTGGTTACCTGGATAGATCTATCAGCTGTACCTTCTAACATGGTTTTAAAATATATTTTGTCTCTTTCTTGTTAATTCACTTCTTGAAGGTGTTTGCATTTTATAGGGATACGGTAGTCATATGTGTAAAAAGAAAACATCTTTTCCCTCTGCCAGTGGAAACAAGGGCATATTCAAACTACTGTATGATTTGCTTTTTCCGTTTAATATATTTGTATTTTTCTATGTTAGGTCTGTCAACCAAAATTTCAACAAATTTCGTTTTCAAGACCAAAATAGCTTTTATTGACGATTCATGAACTGGGTGGGATCTGGTTTACAAAATAGGAAAGAGTTTGGATGTGTTGAATGCAGGGCCAGGCTTTATATAAAGGCAAAAAAAAAGTTGAAGAAAGTAAAAACAAGGAACAAATACAGATTGGTCATTTCAAAGTTGCTTTCCTGTAGGGCTATACGTGAAATCTGTTAGCTGAATGAGATTTGGCTGTCATCTCTTTTCTTAGCTCTCATAAGTTCTGCTTTTACAGGTAAACAAGTTAGGTTTCTGTTTGGTACAAGGACCCTTAGCATGAGTGACTCCATTTTGAGCCTGCTGTCTTTTCCTTAATGGGACATACAAATGTGTTTTGTATGGAAATTTTTTGTTAAAATCTATGTAGTATTTCACTGTATGGATATGCCCTAAAATGCTTAACCATTTTCTAAGTCAAATTATTCCTAATGTTTTATTAAAAACAATGCTGTAATGAAGATCTCTATTCTTTGTTGTTCTTCATACAAGTCAAGCGTGCACCTGCCTCAGGATCTATGCCCTCTGATTAGAATCCGCTTTCTTTTAGCTACATGTCTGACTAACTCAGTTCTTTCAATTTCACTTCTCTCACGTGTTTCTGTAACGACAATGCCCTTGTCCCCCTTCTCTTCTATCACTAATGCATTGTTTATTTAGTTAACTTGATTATTATTCATCTCCTTAAGTAGAATATAAACTCCATGAAGGCAGGGATTTTTTACCTAGGGTGGTTGTCTGGTATCTAGTTGGTTCTTCATGTCTTTTGAATGAATGAATGTATGAATAAGGTAATAATAGCCTATATTTACTGGGAATTTAGTGGGAAACAGGTTTTTTCAAAACTATTTTCAGTTTTGGTGTTTGGTGTAGGGATGGCAGATAGGAGGTTTTGTTTGTGTGTGTATTTAATAATGTTCAGAATTTTAAAACCAAAAGCCCATAGGATGCCTTATTGGATACCTTTTTTTTTTTTTCTTTTTGGTACTGGGGATCGAACTCGGGTCCTTGCGCTTGCACAGCAGGCGGCGAAACCACTGAGCTAAATCCCCAGCCCATTATTGGATACCTTTTTATGTTCAACCATAGGCATTGTGGTATAGCTGGAAAAAAATATTTGATTTGGGACTTAGTAAATCTGAGCTCTGGCCTACTTGTGCTGCTCACCTTGGTGTTTGATGTTGTACAAGTCATTTGTTGGGTTTGGATATTCTTTATTCAGTATGAAAAATTCTGAAAAAAACTACTGAGGTTCTCTGCTATCTCTTGACACTTTGATTTGAGAAGCTCTCCGTTCATTTTGTTATTTTATAAATACTAGTTATCAATTTCCCAGAGTAATTGATTTTTTTAAAATCAAGTTTTATTTCAAATTAATTAGGCTTGTATACCCTTCAGCATCTGTCTTTTGCTTTCTTTCCTGTAGCTATCAGATATTGTGAAAAATGTCAGTTGATTAAACCTGATCGGACACATCACTGCTCAGCATGTGACACGTAAGTAGTATTAGTTGGTGGAAGAAGGAATGTTGTACATGCTTTCAACTTAGCAAATATGCTTCATCCTCTGCCATTGAAGAATTTTCCAAGTGTATGGAGCTAACAAAATATTTATGTAAGCTAGAATTTTCCCAGAAGTGTTCTTTAGTAACTGTTTCTCTCCTAGTTAGTAAAATTTCCTTAGCCTTAAATATGCTTTCTGTGCTTGTTCAATACAATATTAGTGAGTAAGTAATAATAATCCCCTTGAGAAAGATAACAATTTCCTGGATTTAAAGGCCATAATGATGGTTTCTTTGCTTTTAGTATTGTTAATATTAGAACTTTAAGAAAAATTAATTTTACAAGTTTTTTCAACTGTCATCTTTTTTTTTTTTGGTACCGGGGATCGAACTCGGGTTCTTGCGCTTGCGAGGCAGGCGGCGGAACCACTGGGCTCTCAACTGTCATCTTAGCATTTTCCCCGGAAAACCTTGGAAGAATTCAGTCCTTACACAATGTGAGAAGGTGATATTTTAAAGGAAAGATTGTTAGTTTGGTATCTCAGCTGATCCTGTATTTATAGGTAGATAAACTACCTAACTTTCTGGCTATGAGGTTACTCATTTGTTATATTACTGGGGATCATCTATGGCCTAACATATATATACTGCTAGGGAGGCATATTTTGAATTTGGGGTTTTTTTCCCTTATTATGGAAACAATATTATTACCCACAGGGTAAAATTGGATAAAATATTTAGGAAAAAAAATAATTTCCAGGTCCATCAGTGTTAATCTCCTGACATATTTGCTTCTAAAGTTTTTTTTTTTTTTTTTTGGTACTGGGGATTGATCTCGGGACCTTGAGCTTGTGAGGCAGGCACCAGTGCTTCTAAAGTTTTATTTTCATGGTCTGTACATGTTTAAAGTAACAGGGTTCCTCTGTATTCCATTTTGTTTCCTTGAGCTACCTTGGGAGCTGGACCTATCTAATACCAAGTATTGTCCACCGTGTCTAAATAAAAAAATGTTATTTGGGGCTGGGGATTTAGCTCAGTGGTTTCGCCCCCTGCTGTGCAGGCTCAAGGACCCAAGTTCGATCCCCCGGTACCAGAAAGAAAATTGTTATTTGATGTTGTCCAGTGCAACTGGATATGCTCAGCTGAATTCCCAGTATAAAAGATTATGACCTCAGGGCTGGGGATTTAAAATGCTCAGTCAGTGGCATCATGCGTGCCTGCCTTGGAAGCACAAGGTCCTGAGTTTGATCCCCGGTACCAAAAAAAAAAAAGGAAAGAAAAGAAATGATTATGGCCTCTTATGTATGAAAGTACTTGTGGAAATATCAGAAATTATCTCTAACTTAATGTTTGTGGGTTGGTTCTGTAAGATATTGTTGTAAAGGAAAAATTTTAAGTGAAATAAAATTACAAAGAATTAGAATTTTCTGCACAGATTTTCTTACGGTTATTTGTTTCTTAGATGTGTTCTTAAGATGGATCATCACTGTCCTTGGTATGTATTAAAAAAATAGAAGAAATTACATCCATGGGTGGAGAGGTGGGAAGGAAGGAGTTGGGAATTATGTACTCCAATAGTCTATTTTGAGTGTCAATTTTTAATTAATCATAATAGTAACATTGATCTGCTTATACAGTATATATACATGTATATGTATGAACTTATTTATATTAAATGTTTTCCTTAAAATATCTTTTAATGTTGTTAACAAATGATGATTACAGTAATGATTATTAAGAATCACAGTACTCTGTAATTTCCAAACAACCCATTTCCAAGCTTTATGGTTGGTTGGTTGGTTGGTTGGTTGGTTTAGTTAGTAAGCAATACTAGGGCCTCATGCTCTATTGCTGAGCTACGTCCCCAATCCTTTTTATTTTGGACGGAATCTACTAAGTTGCCCAGGATGGCAGCTATGATACTCTTGCCTTAGTTTCCAGAGTAGCTGAGATTACAGTGTGTACCACTGCATCTGGCTAATACATCTTTATTTTTTTAAATTTTTATTTATGATAAAAAATACAAGTCACTGTCTTAACCACTTAGTAGTATTAAGTATTATTTACATCGTTGTACAGTCATCAGAACTTTCAACTTAATGAAACCAAAATTCTTTAATTCAGTAACTTCCCATCTCCCAGCCCTTGGCAACTCCCACTCAACTTTCTATTTCTGTAAATTTGTGACTTGTCTTGTTTTTATAACGTGACTTTCTTTATTTTCTAGGGTGAATAACTGTGTGGGATTTTCTAATTACAAATTCTTCATGCTGTTTTTATTGTATTCTCTGTTATATTGTCTTTTTGTTGCAACAACAGTTTTAGAGTACTTTATAAAATTTTGGACGGTGAGTCTTTTTTATCTTAAAACATGTATTTAAGACTTTTTAAAGTTGTTCTATGGCTAAGGAATTATTTCATTCTGATACTTTAATTTTACTAGTTAGACTTTTTTTTAGACTCATATACATGTTTATTTGTAAGTAAATATCCATTCCACAAGATACCGTGAGCTTTTCTTTGTGGTCCAAATTATTCTCAGCCACACTGTAACAAAGTCAAACTGCTTTTCTTTGACTTGATGAGCCAGATTGCACTACAATAAAAGCAACAGTGCAGCTCTAACCTGCTTCCTGTCTATGTAGATTTTCAGCATTTCTTAAAATGGCAAATGGTTGAAAACGGTCAAATGTCTGATCAACAGGACTAGTTAAATATATCTATACAAAGGAATGCAGTGCACCTAAGAAAGAAGAAGGAAGCTTTGTGTGACAAACAGTATGACGTGGTCTTTGAGATGTATTGTGTGAAAGGTACAAGGCACTGAAGAGTACATATAGTGTGCTGCCATGGGAAAATAACATACACGTGTATAGTCTTCTCTGGAGAATACAGTTAAAGGAAACATGCTCTTTACAGTTATCTTTTGAATTTGTATGTTAAGTAGTCTACTCAAAATAAATAATAAGCTTAAACATTTTTTAGTATGGAAATACATATTTCAGGGGAAAAGTCTACCAAAAATGTGGAAAGAAGTGCCTCCTCGAAGTGCAGAGAACTTAACTATACTTTTTCATGAGTAGCCTTTTAGCATTATTTGATTTTATCTGTATATGTGCCATTTTGGTAAAATTTAGAAATAATTTAAAAATACATTATAACTCTTCCCTGTATGTGAACTGAGTTTCTGTTATAAACAGTGTGTGTGAGGCCACTTGGAGACAGGTTTTGTGAGAAAAAGCTTTATTCCTGACCAGGTGTGAACAGAAACTGAAATAAGGGGCAGATTTTAGCAGCTAGATGGAAAGAGCTGAATTTATTTCATCCCTGTGTGGCTGGGCTGACATGCGGGCTGGGGGAAAGAGAGAAAGAAAAGAGAAGAGATCCGCAGCTAGCTGGGAGAGAAATTAAGTTTATATAGGGCTTGGGAAAGGGGCTATGATCGTAAGGAATGTTTATGACTTGAGGGTCCAAGGATGGTCAGTGCAGGTGTGCAGACAATCACTGGACTTCCTGGTGCTGGGGAGGCTGTATACTCTGTCTTAAATTTTCTTTATAGCTGCATGTCTTATTTACTGAGAGTAGTAGCCCATTGTTTGTAGAGTGGCCTGTTTGCTTGTGAAGGTGAAGGTCTTATTCCGGCCAGGCATGATAGTTTCTGGATGTTATTCCTCTGGATGTTATTGCCTCCTCATTGTCAGGTCAGTCCTTGGCTCTCTGTGAGGTTTTTTCACAGTCTCATGGACACCTGTGGCCTTCGCAGGTACCAGCCTGAGCCTGGCTCTCACACCGCTGAGCCCCAGTCCTCAGTCACCAGTTGTGATCTATTGACCCCCAGACATGATGATGGCAGGCACCATAAAAACCACCATGTCTCATCCCTTGTGTCCTTCTCTTTTCATTGTTGTTCCTTTGTTTATCCAATGTGGGAACAGAATCTATCTACCACTATCAGCTGCTAGGCTGGAAAAGTTAAAGTCATCATTAAGCTCTTGGGGAACTTCTGAGCTCTTTGAGCCCTCACGAAACTTAGATCTAGAATCAGGATAGCATACTAACAATGAGCCTCTGTTTACTTACAAATGCCATATATCTGCTAGAATCTGAGCTCCACTGAAGGCAGCAATTTTTGTCTCTTTTGTTCATTGATGTAGCACCTAGATTATTGCCTGGCACACAGTATGTACTCAGTATATTTGTTGAATGAAGGCATAGCCACAGTCAAGATACTTAAACTTGTTTGTTTGTTCATCTTTAAAATTTGTAGTAATACTTAACCCATAGGATTGATGTGAAGATTAAAATTAATGTAAATATTTGATATACAGAAAACATTCAATGTCTTCGTTATACTTTTTCCAATTTGATGTTCCTCAAATCATTTCTAACCCTAAACCATGTCTATGTCTTCTAATTTCCTGTCTTTGTTCTCTCCCTTTCTTACATTCAGTGCCTGCTAATTTATGAGCAAAATATAATATTTTATACATGTTTAAAAGTTTATGTTTAGTAGCTACTAGTATGTCTTTTTGTGACCTTCCTACTTTGTCCTTTGATTTTTTTTTTTCTGGCATGTTTTGTATTTATGCAGGAAGGAGTTTCTTTCATTAAATATACTAATCTACATTTTTAAAAAACATTTTTTGAGAGAGGGTCTCACTGTGTAGTCAGGCTGTCCTTGGACTTGCACCAATCCTCCTGCCACAGCCTCTCCTGGGTGCTGGGATGACAGGTGTGCACCACCTGGCCCTGCTTCTAATGTATATTCTTGGCCTTGGTGTGACTAAGGGTTACTTAGGTAGAATATAGGAGTCACTAACCATAAAAGAAAATTAAAATTAAGAATTCCTAGCTGAGCATGGTGGTGCATGCCTGTCATCCCAGCACTATGGAGGCTAAGGCAGGTGGACTGCCATGAGTTCACGGCCAGCCTAGACTACACAGTGAGTTCAAGACCAGCCTGGACTACATAGCAAGACCCTGTCTCCAAAAAATAGATAGATAGAGAAGATAAGATAAAATAAAGAATTCGTTTTAGCCAGGTGCCACAACACATCTGTAGTCTCACCTACTCAGGAGGCTGAGGCAGGAAGATTGCTTGAGCCCATGGGTTCTAGGCCAGCCTATTTAAATCTTGAAAAAAAAATTTTTTTTTTATTCAGAAAGGTTGCTCTTAAAATGAAAAAAGGAAAGCTTCAGACTGGGAGAAGATACTTGCAATGGATACCTCTCACCAAGAACACGTACCCAGGCTACATAAGGCACTGCTGCTATTGATTCCTTTTCTGTCCTGGTTTACAGATGTAATTTCCATATTTTATGTGTATGTCTTCTAACCCTGTTTAGTTTTTGTCAAATCAAAGTTTTGCATTTTTTAAACGGTTGCTTTTATTTATGATTTTTGGTTCTTGTCATTGTAAATTTGCACAAATACTCACCTGTTGTCATCCTGCACTTTTATTTTCACTTCTACATTTAAGTCTGATTGTGAAGGGGGAGGTGTAGTTTAAAAGTGCTTTTCCATTCTTCCCGAAACACTGGGAGGTGTTTTAAATGCAGCTTTTACTATTACTCAGATATGACGAGGCCCATCCATTTAGAGACAGCCCACTTACTGGAAGATAACAGCCTCCAAAGCAAGGGGCGCACTGCTATGGGGCCTTCAGGCTGGCGGTTCTGTAGCATCAGGCACTGGGGCCAGATGGGAAGGGAGCTAAGAGATTGAGGAAGTTCAGGTAATCTCCGTGGGCTGTCTCGGTTGTCTTCTGGCTGGCCTGGGAATGATGAGGGCAAAGGAGTAGTGCCTGGGCGTGAGAGCCGGGCGGAGGTGGTGGTTGGAGTATAGCTCCATATTGGTTAGTTTGCACAGGAAAGGCACCATCCTAGCTGAGGCTTGCTCTCCCTCTGAGAATTGGCCAGCCTGAGAAGGGCAATCTCTCCCTAAGACAGTGAGGTTCCAAGAATACAGGAAATAAGGAAATGTGGTTACTGTTGAGGGGCTGTTATCATTATTCCAGTTTTCAGAGTTGGAAACAGATTGAAGAAGCTAGCCATCTACTCAGGGTCACATATTTAATATTATAGGTCACATACGTGAATAGTATACCTGTTCATCTAAACATCCCAGTACTTCCCACTATCACTTGCTACTCATAGTCAACAATTAAAGCCCTAAGGCATGAAAGCACAATTTTATTTCCAGCAAACATCTAATATAGTTCAGAAGGATTTTCATTAAAACATCATTAGGTATTTGAATATTTAAAACCAGGTAGTTGGACTGGGGGTATAGCTCAGTGACAGAGTGCTTCCCCAGCATGTGCAAGGCCCTAGGTTTGATCTCAGCATCATTCTAGCACCACAGAAAACACATGAAAAAAACTCTACAAATAAGTAAGATGGAACTGGGGTGGAGGTGTCAGCACTTACTCTGCCTTTATTTGTACATAGTAGAGGACAGTACCACCCTACCTCTTGTGTGGTCTCAGCCCCAGGAATTTTGGCCTCTGTTGTCCCCCTTTGCTGGGCGCCTTTTCCAGTTTGCAAACTAACCATACTCAGTAGCCCTATTTAAATAAAAGATTCAGTGCCAGATGAATGAAGTGGAAATGATGTAATTTCGTGTTTTTCCATCAGAAGATTCAGCAGTGTTTGCATATAATGATTTATTACTTTAAGGTTCATCCTAAGAACAGAATAGTAAATTTTCATCTACCTTTTTCTTCATTCAGTGCATATTTAGAACTTTCTCTCCCAGATGGGTTCTTTTGAGCTATATCAGAGAGAGCCCTGTCTCCCTGTCCTTGTAGAGCTTACTTTTGAGGAGAGAGACACATCATAAAAATAGGTCAGGGCAGGGGATTGGTTAAGTAGGGGGCCGGTATGAGGAACAAGGGACACGGTAAACGGGACAGGAGGGGACTTATTAAGAGTGGGACTGGAGCAGCTTACGAGGGAGTTGGGGGCAGTGGGAGACAAAGGGAACGCGTTGGTATCCTCAGCGTGTTTGGGGCAGCAGCAAGGAGGCCGTTGTGCTAGAGGAGTGTAGGGAACAGGGGAAGGGGATGTTACTAGAGCCTCTGCAGTGAGTCCTGGTCTCCTGTGAGCCAGGGCAGCACAAGGCGAATTACAGGAAAGGTAGCAAAATGAGACTTTGAGAAGCTGAGCTTTGGTCTCATCAGTGGCAAAGACGGAAGCACCACAGCTTACCGCACCTGATATTTAGTAATCAGGAGAAACAGATGTAACAAATGACTTGCAGAGAGTTCAGTACATCCGGGTAAACAAGATGTAACAATCCAAGAAGGATGAGGAACTGAGTAGATGTTTGTTCCTCCCAGGATGTCTCAGCTGTGTAATCTTGTCCTGGAGAATCACAGCATCACCGGATCATTGAGGTCTCAGTTGTGACTGGAGGCCAAAATGGAATTATGTCTCGGAATTCCATAGCTGGGCTGTAGGCAGGAGAACTAGGCTAACCAAATGATTTTTCCCTAGAATTATGTAGCGTTGCTCCCGACAGAGGAGAATAAGCAGGAGGAGACTAAGAGGAAGCCAGGGTGTGGGTGTTGGAGAGAGCTGGAAGGTGGCTGTTAGCCCACTGAACTGGGGAGAGCAGCAGCGACATGATCAGACCTGTGAAGGGTCGCTCTCATGGCTAGCCTGTGACCAGGTGGGAACGGGGAGGAGTCCCACAGCCAGCGCCTGTTGGAGCCTGTTGTAGTTTTCTAGCTGTAACAAAGTCATAGCAGTGAAGGTGGTAAGGTGTCGTCCTGTCTGGTTTGTGTGTGTGTGTGTGTGTGTATGTGTTGAGAAAGGGTCTGTGTCTCAGGCTGGCCTTGAACTAGTAGTGATCCTCTTGCCTCGGCCTCCCAAGTGCTGGGATTGCTTATGTGTGCCGTCACATATTACTTCAGGCCTAGTATTTAGAAACTGCTAATCAAAAGTTTAGAGAAACACATACTTGCTAAACCATTTTATTCTTTCTAGACATGAACCTGTTAAAAACTGAATGAAAAAGGTACATGTTGAAAGAGTACCTGAATTGTGCTTGAAGAACTAAATATTTTTGTCTGATTTTCTCTTGGGTTTTTAAAGAAAATATTATAGATAACTATTAGAGAACAACATCTTAGTGTTCCTTCAGAGCACACGGGATTTATAACAGTGCTCAGGTGTTCAGGATAATTTTGTATAAAAATTGGTTTCTTAATACATTGTCTCTATTTGCACAAGCTTTGCCACAGGAAATCTACAGAGAATTGTCCAAAGGTAAAAACATATTGCCATGACATTCTCATTATCTCTTTTTTGGGGGAGTGGGGGGTGACCGGGGATCAGACTTGGGACCTTGCACTTGCAAGGCAGGCAGCGGAACCACTGGGCTAAATTCCCGGCCCCCTCACTATCTCTTTTATGACATTTTATAGTGAATTGTATACAAAAATTTACTTCACAGGATAGTGAGATAAAAGGATCACTTAAGAGGTAAAGTGAGGAAAAAGAAATACCAAAATAATGTAATGTATAGTAAGGCTATAACTCAGTGGTAGAGCATATGAGGCCCTGGGTTGAATCCCCAGCACCAGAAACAAAAGCAGACAAAATGCTTTCATAATTTAACTAGCAGGGTGGATTCTTGGAGCTGTAAGAAAGAATAATAGAGAAGCAGTTTTCATTTACTGTCTTGTGGCAGATATATTTAGCAGATAGCTGGTCACTTTACAGGCTCTAGAGAGGGTGACACGGTCGGAGTCAGAGCAGCTAAGGCATGGACACTTCTGCAGCCGTGCACTGAAAATGGAGACCTGAGAAACAAGAGAAAACTCGAGCGTATCCCAGCACGTTTCTGGTGACAGCATACATGGTTAAAATAAGGGGATACTTCAGCATAGGTTCTGGACAGCGAGCAAAGCTTGGCTATAAAGTACAAAAGAAAATTGTGAGGCAGAAGAGTCCATCTTGTCGTTTGATTACTGAGTAATATTGCTAAAATTTTTAAATTTTTTGTTGCAATCTGTAGGCAGAACTAAATTATGTTATATTTTAGAGGTTTAATGCCCTTAAAATTAACTTCTTTTTTCTTTCCTCAGAATGAACTGACAGATACACGTGCAAAATTCCACGTACTTTTCCTTTTCTTCGTGTCTGCAATGTTCTTCCTCAGTGTCCTCTCACTATTCAGCTACCACTGCTGGCTAGTTGGAAAAAATAGAACAACAATAGGTAAATAGGCCAAAATAAATGATAATTATTTAGGAACATAACCCTAAATGAATATGAAAATAGACAAGGCCAGCAGTCAGCTGATAGAGCAGTGTAAAATGGATCTCTGTTAAAACTGATTGGATACAAACTGTATAATAAATGTCAAGGTTCATTATATTGAACTAAGAATCACTTTAATAATTTCAGTAATAGGTTATATATAAAATATGGAATTTAAACAGATAAAAAAATATAATTTTAATAAAGAGCACCACTTGCCTAGCATATGCAAGGCCCTGGGTTTAATCTCCAGCACTGCAAATAAGCAAGCAAGCGCACGTGCGCGCACACACACTCTGGGAGGCTGAGGCAGGAGGATTGAGAGTTGGATGCCAGCTTGAGCAATTTAGCAAGGCCTTGTCTGAAAGAAGAGCTGGGGAGATAGCATGGCACAAAGGCTCTGGGTTCAGTCCCCAGCACCACAGATAAAAAGGTTGACGATCACCTGCCATCCGAAACTCATATCCGCCAGGAGAATTGGGAAGAAACTGAACTCACTGTGTAGCTGTAGGCTGGCCTCAAACTCTCAGTGATGCTCCTGTCCCAGCTGGGTTTGCAGCGAGTGCCAGCACACCCAACTTGGAAATAGTTTTAATACAGAATACTGAAGAGAGGCTTTAGGGAAGCATTTAGATAGTAGTTACATTTGGATCATTCTAAGTTCCTGTGTCATTGGGTCCTGTAAGTTAGGGTTTCAGGGTAAGGATTTCTACACCCTTCCTCCTTCAGCCTGCCTTCTACTGTTAATCTCTCCTCCACTTCCATCACTCCTTTATCCTTTTTACATGTGCGTAAAATTCCTTACATTAACTAATTTATCTTCTCCATAGAATGTCCTGCCATCTTCTTATTCTTAATCAGAGATAACAAAAAGTTGGCATGCTGACAAAGGCCACCCCTTAAAACCTTCAGCAAAAGCTAAAAATGAAAAGATTTCACATAAAAATACCTAGAATTTTTGCTTTCCAAAGGATACATCTGATAATAGTGGGCCCATTTCCCACCTGGTGTCAACCAGTTGGAGCTGAGTGGTAGCCACCTGATGTAGGTTGTGCAGAAATGCTTTCATCTGCTGCCTCCCACTGGCCTGGCTTATTCACCCTGTGAGTCTTTGTGAGATGAATGTTTCCAGGGAAACCACTTCTCTACAAATAATTTTTTACCAGTGACCACAGTGAGAAACACATTTGCATCATGATTTGGTATGTATGCACACAGACTTACCAAATTACGTAAGTTAAGAATTTCACAGAGCATCATCGGTCTCAACTATGTGCACTGTGCTCTGATACTTTGCACTTTAGCTTGCGTTTTTGCCTTGATTGCATGGCCCGCTACAGCATCCTGGCCCATGCTTTGAAAACACATGGCCTGAGCACACCGTCTTTCTTACAGCCTCATCCTCTCACACCCCTGGCTGATTCTCCCTTGCAACATCCAGATTTTTATTCTATCTTGTTACAGTACCTTTGCCCTTCATAACTGTTACCCCAATTATATAATTTCCCCATGTTAAACGAGTCCCCGTGTTCAAACTGGTGCCATGGTCTAAACAGGCAAACTAGTCCCTTTGATTCTGGTGGCTTCTCATTCCCATAACCACACTTTGAGCTTTTAATTACCTAAAACTGAAAAACTTCTAAGGGTGAAATTTTCAACCAGAATATTTCGTTCTCTGACTATAATCTTTTAGTCTTTCCATTGTTCCTTTTCTGCAATCTAAAATACTTTGTTTTGTGGATCACTCAATCCTGTCTTATCCAACAGTTTTCTCCCACGTTTTTCTTCTGGTTTCATTTCTTATCCTTGTCCATTCAATATTCTGTAAGTTGACTTCAGAAACTCTTCACTGCACCATCCATCTTTTGCCCTTGGGTTTCCTCACGGCCCCATGGCCTGGGTTTTCCAGCTATCATTTCGTTCGCACAGACAAGACTGTTCACAGCTGAAGGGAATCTTACTCCCATAGCAAGACTGAGTGAGCATCTCCAGGCCTCACCGTGGCCCTTGACTCTTGACTACAGCGTCATGCGTTTCTGGTCATCTCTTAACCCACAGTGTAATTCCAGATTGGTTCACCATTCTCCTTGTTCTGCTGACCCTCATGAATTCTTCACAGAAAGCTTCAGAGTCACAAGCAAACTCATCTTCCACCTTTATAACCTTTCATACACACTGGTCCTTTCACACCTGCCGCTTTGCTCTATCTTCTGAGGAAAGATGTCATTTCTGGCATTCGAGTTCATCTTTAGGACACACAGGATGCCCTCCCATGTCTTCTGAGCTCCTTCCCTTCAGGGTTTTGTTTTGCTTTTGAGGGGAGACAGTTTGAGACAGGGTTTTGCTGTGTAATTTGGCTGGCTTTGAACTCACTATGTAGCAATGCTCCACGAGCTGGGATTATAGGTGTGTGCCACCACGCCTGGCCCTTCAGCTTTTACTCTACTTTGCTGCATCGTCAGTTGGAGAAACTGCTGGCTGCTTCTTATCCATAGCTTACAAAACATGCAGAAGTACATTGTTTTTAAGTAAAAAAAGCCGGGGATTTAGCTCAGTGGTGCTGCCTCCTGCCTCGCAAGCGCAAGGTCTCAAGTTCAATCCCCAGTACCAAAAGAAAAATTAAAATTAAAAAATAAATAAATAAAATATATGACACCAGAGTGGTCTGTAACCACTGTTGGCCTCTTCCTTGCTCGTGTTCAGGGTCACCCTCAAGTGCCCTGCCTTTTTCCTCACCTTCCCCTGCCACTGCCCCAGGACATGCGCAGTCTGATCCAGACAAAATCGGTTTTTCTCACCTCTGCTCCCACGTGCTGAGTGTGACTTGCGGCCCACGTAGCTTTGCTTCCCTGGAGATTCTTTGGTAGGAATTTCATCTGCTTTTATCTTTGGATCACAAATACCTGGTTCTGTCCCTGTGAGAAACATGATAGGAAATTCATAAATAAGAGTAAAGTTGGAGTTAAAATATCTCTTTAAAAGATATACTGAACATAATTCATTAGAATTTTCAATAAGACTAGATAATTGTTTTGACATTTTATATAGTTGATAAAATAAAAATTACTTTTTTCTAAATAAGTTTCAGAAGACTTTAAAAATATATTTTTAATAGATACACAGTAATTGTAGATATTTATCAGCTACAGTGTAGCACATGTATATAATGTGTAATCTCAGGGTGATTGGCTTATCACCTATTCATTTCTAGTTATTTTTTAATAGCTACAAATATTTAAATTATATTTATGGTTTAACATGAGACATAAGCAAGAAAATTGATACTCCATCCCTTTTATAATTTTTAAATAAATTAATTAGCTTTTTTTTTAATAGAATCATTCCGTGCACCTACATTTTCATATGGACCTGATGGAAATGGTTTCTCTCTTGGGTACAGTAAAAATTGGAAACAAGTCTTTGGTGATGAAAAGAAATATTGGCTACTTCCAGTATTTTCAAGGTAACTTATAAATTGCAGGTCTCAGAAATTGTGAACTCTGTAGTAGTCTGTGTCTCTGATTGAATGTATTAAGATTCAGAGAATGTAATACATAATGGTATTTTTATGGGCCTTTAAAATGAATGATCAGAATAGCTTGATCAGACATAAAATACTTTATTCTCTTTCATTTTAAATTAGGGTTGGGCCGGGGATTTAGCTCAGTGGCACCACACCTGTCTCACAAATGCAAGGACCTGAGTTCGATCCCCAGTACCCAATAAATACAGAAAGAAAGTAGGTAGAGTTTGAGCACACTGTATGAATGGGGAGCAAAAAATATAGATGATGTATAAAAAAAATCCCTTATTTAAAAATAAATTGTTGGAATTGAATCTTAAGGATATACCTATTACTGCTGTAGCTTCAAAGATTCCATCACAGAAGTGAATAATACATTCTTTATTAAAACGCATAGTGCAACTTTACCTCAGTTGTAAAAGAAGATGTACTAACGATTCATAGTTTCCATTTTTCTCTAATTCCCGACCATTCTAGAACATCTGCATACCCAAGTCATTATACAGAAGAAAAATACTTATAATTTATGTGGTATATTTGTTAGGTACAGTTTTTTCCTTGACCAAATTACCTATTTTGGCTTTAAAAGTGATTTATGTGGTCTTCATTTTAGAAGGCTGCTTTTGCTTGGTGTTCGCTTCACTATCTTCTGGCCTGTGTTTTTTTATGATGAGAAGTTTGTGGTCAATTTTATTTTCTCACACTATAGAGAAGGTGTCTTTTCACTGGCTACTATAAAGACTTTCTGTTTAATCACTTCAAAATTTTCTTAAGATACACCTTGGTTTAGTTTCTTTTTTTAATTTTTTTTGGTACCGGGGATCAAACTCAGGTCCTTGCGCTTGCGAGGCAGGCGGTGGAACCACTGGGCCCAATCCCCGGCCCTGCCTTGGTTTAGTTTTCTTCATGTTTCTTGTTGGGATCAGTTGAGCCTCTTTCCTCTGGTTTTATAGTTTTCATCAAATTTGGAAAAATCGTTAACCATTGCTTCTCCCATCCCTGACATAGACAACGATTACAGGCATGTTAGTCCCCTCAGAGTTTCTCCCAGCCCAGTCCATTGTTATGTTCAGCCTTTTCCTTTTACATAGGTCTGTGGCTGTATATTCAAGTTCACCGCTGACTTGTGTACTTACTTTCTCTGTTGGCTCATGTTTTTGAGATGTTTCTGTTCCCCCTGATTGGAACATGGATCATTTGTTGAGAAAGTTATTTTCTCTGCTCAGTGAATTCATGGTTTTAGGTTCCCTCCAGCTTCCTGTTAGAAAGGTATTATTCTGTTCTTTTCCGCTGTGCATGGTCTCTGGAACATCAGCCTTACTGCTGTCCTAATCTGCTGTTTGTAAATTACTGCATGGACTCTTGTTATTTTCCCCACACCCACACATTTTTCTGTATCACCAGTTTTAAGCAGTTTTGTGATGGTACTTATCCTGCCTGCTTGTTCATTATGCTTTTTGAATCTGAATTTATAGCTTTCATCAGATTTAAATCAGTTTTACCCATTATGCCTTCACTTGGTTTTTTTTTTTCAGTCCTGGGATTGAACCCATGGCCTTTACACTGACCTACATCCCCATCCCTTTTCATTTTTTATTTTGAAACAGGGTCTTGGTCTTTTAAGTTCCTAAGTTGCCTGAGCTGGGGTTGAACTTGCCATCCTCCTGCCTCAGCTCCCACTGCTGGGATCACAAGCAGGTGCTACCATGCCTGGCCTCAGTTGGTTTTCTCGTGTTTTTGCCTACTGCCCTCTTTTCTAGCCCTTCCCTGCCAGCCTTCCTGGCACTTTCAAGTATATACACATTCAGTTTCTTAGTAGCAACTCACAGATCATTGTTGTTCTACCCTCCTCCCCCATCCATTTTTCGGTCTTTGCTTCATTTTGGTTAGTTTCCGCTGCTGTGTCTAAAAGTCCATTCTTCTCTGCTTCTGCACTGTCTAAATCTGTTGGTAAGCCTATCTGGTGAGGTTTTCACTCTAGCTTACATTTCTGTTTTCGTTATATCTGTTATTCCTTTACATTTATGGACCTATTTATAATCATCAGTTTGGAATCTACTAATTTTCATGGAAATTGTTAATTTTCTTTTTTTTTTGGTACCGGGGATTGAACTTGGATCCTTGCACTTGCAAAGCAGGCAGCGGAACCACTGAGCTAAATCCCTAGCCCAAGATTGTTAATTTTCTGATTCTGTTGGCTGTTTTTTTTCTTAGCCATGGATCTCATTTTCTACATGTCTAGTAACTTTTGATTGGATGGTGAACATTTTGAGTGCTAATTTGCTGAGCAGATTTTATTGTCCTTTTGTTTCTGGTTTTTATTGAGACAGGGCCTCGCTCTGCATTCCAGGCTGCTCTTCAACTCACTGTGTGGTCCAGGCTGCCCTCAAACTCCTGCCTCAGCCTCCAGAGTGCTGAGATTACAGGAATGTGTCTCCACGCCCAGCTTGTTTCCCTTTAAAGAATGTGAATTTGGTTTTGTCAGGAATTAGCTTACTTACGTCTCTGCTAGAGCTTTTTGAGGCTTTTTTTTAAGCTTATTTAGGTTGAGTCCAGAGTAGCATTTTCTTTAGGGCTAGTTTAGCCTTAGACTTCAAATGAAGTCCCTCAGATTCATGGCAGAGATCTCTCCACTTTGCGTGATCAGAGTTGAATGCTTCCCAGTGTTGTGAGGACTCTGAATTTGTTCCTTACACTTCCTGGTTCTTTTCCCAGATTCACCTGGATAGCTTAATATTTATCAAAACACTCAAATACAGGACTTTGCACACTGCTGCAGTAATTTCTCTATGTGTCTTCTTCTTGCTCTGTTCTGTCTCGTAGATTGAGGCCACTTCAGCTCTCAAAACTCCCATCTCTGTCACCTCGATTCACGGGACTACCTTGCTCTGCTTGGAGTCCCCTTCTGGTGCTACAGTTGTGGCAGAAAGTTGGTCTACTTATTTTTCTTCTTTTTGAGACCACAGTACTGTGCAGCCTTGTGTTGAAACATTACTTCCAGTTTCTGGCTGTCTATGATGGCCTGTCACACTTACCAGTTATTCTGTCTTGGCTGGAGGTGACAGCCCCTGTTGTATACAGTTTTGATATAAGAATGTGAAAATAAGACATAACTATAGGGTTTTTTTTTACACTAGTAACTTCTTTTTTTGTTTCTGTTTTTTGAGACAGGGTCTTGCTATATAGTTCAGGCTGGCCTTGTACTCACTATGTAACCCATGCTGTTTCTTAAACTCACAGCAATCCTCCTGCCTCAGCCTCCCAAGAGCTGGGACACTATAAACTTCTTGAAGGCAGAGATTTTCTTCTCTTTTGGTCACTGCTATGTCCCCAGTGCTTAAAATATTACCCAGAATGTCATAGGCGTTCAATAGATGTTTGAGGTTGGTTTTTTTTTAAATTTGTTTTGCTGTGCTAGAGACCCTAACCAGGAGCCCATGCATGCTAGGCAAGTGCTTTTTCATTGAGCTATGCCCTCAGCCGTAGATAATGATTTGGTGAATGTTGTTGAATGAATGCATAGGTGGAGCTTACGTCTCTAATTTCAGGTTGAGCTTGGATGATTTCTTAAATGATTGTGATAAGAAAGCCACTGATCTGATTACTTGCTGACTAGAGATGGTGATCTTGATAGAGAGGACATTGTCTTAATATCTTATTCAGTTTACTTTTTTAGATGGTGTCTTGTCATGTTATGGAGCCTAGCCGGATTTAAACTCATAGGCTAAGCAGTCGTCCTGCCTCAGCCCCCCAAGTAGCTAGGATTAGAGGCGTGCTTGGTGCCCAGCTGACATTGTTTCTGAACATGTGCAAATCATAAAAGACAAGGGCTTGTGTGTTCAGTAGAGGTGATCTCTGAACTAGAGTCTCAGGACTAAAATGACAGCTCACAGTGACCTCCCCTCGTGCCTCTGAGAGCTGGTGTCAGGTCTGGTCTCGAGGCACACTGTTCTGTCTCTCATTGTGCAGCTTGGGTGATGGCTGCAGTTTCCCAGCTCGCCTGGTGGGGATGGATCCAGAACAGGCTTCCGCTGCAAACCAGAATGACTGTGCTGGAAGGTATGTTTCTTGTCCCTGTGTTTTCCAGTATTGATTATGAAACGAACCATGTACACACATATCTTATGGGCACATACAATAGCAATTCAGTGAGCCTTCATAAATAGGGGAAGAGAGATTCTATTTAAATTTTTTAAACTGTGGGTCAATGTGTATATGTGCCTAAAATGCTTAGAATTACTGTGTATTTTTATCCTTTGAACCAGAACCCTTGAGAATAGGGAAGGATGCTTCCGTATGAAGCGTACATCAGTAGTTAAACTAGGACAGTTGCAATGAGTGGAAATCTCTGGGCAAACTAGGAAGCAAGGAAAGTAAGATTCTTTTTAAATTTGATTGTATTGTCTTATATCAATTATATTTTTTTGAAGTAGTCATTGTACTAGTCATCATTGTATTTTGATAGGTCTTAAGACTGTCAAAATAATGAGTACTCAAAAATACAAATATTTTTCTGACTCATCTTAGTGGAAATTTTCTCATAATATTTGCATGATAAGCAGACTTTCATAAATTCAGTAATTTATGGAATTTTAAAGAAGATAGATACTTCTTTTGAAGTGAAACACTTGAAATGTATTTATTACGGAAATAAATTGTAGGAGGTGAGGGGCGCTGTGTTCCAAATTAGCATATTGACTTTAGAGGAACATAAACCTTTGAACCCAACAACTAAGGCCTCAGACCCCTAAAATTTATAATGGTCTTTGAAGTCACTGAAACTGTCTCAAGCCTGGCTTTCCCCTCTGTTAAGATGAAGATGATGAGACCTGCCTGCAGCCATCACTGAGAAGTCAGACAATGTGTACATGCCTAGCACACACTCTGGCCCACCATAGGCACCAGCAAATCTCAGTTCCCTTTTTCTTCCTTTCTTTCCTCCATGCCCTCCTTCCCTAGTTCTCTTAGCTAGAAGAATAAGTCTACGCTAAATCACTAAATCATTTTTTCCCCTTAGATCTAAACTGCAGAGGTAGAAAGCAGAAACTTGGGAAATGACAGGTAATTTTTTTGTACTGGCCAAAGACATAGCTCCTCACCTGTTGCTGTACTACCTTATGCCTCCTGATTAACATGTTAAAACACTCAGACTTGGGTCTGAAGCTTTTTTTCTTTTGTCTAATTGTTTACATTGGAAGTGTTGGAGTACAGATTCTCGGGTCTAGCGAGCCATGTAATGGGGGGTGTGGGCATATTTTTCCTTTGAAGATAGTTTTGGCTGAGTGCTGAGGTCTCATGAGTTGCCCTCATATATTTAGGAAAAGGAATACTAATTTGCTGCTTATTAATTTATTAAGTATTCTTAATTGAACATTAAATTATTTACTAAATTATTTTCTCCTCTTTTCAGTATTGGCTCAAATCCACCTTTTCCTATCAGACCACTTAGTGAATCAAAAAACCGCTTGTTGGACACTGAATCTCAGTGGCTGGAGAATGGAGTTGAAGAAGGTGCCATAAGATCAGGTAATGGTTCTCATATGGAAACACTGCTTATTTGGTTTAGATGAAATACATGTAAGAAAACTAAAAGAATGTGATGTTTTGAAATACTAAAACATGAAACATTTTAAGAAAATGTCTTATACGTGGAGTGGTTGTGTTTATTGGCAGCTTCTCCGGGGAAAGGAAGCAGAGTGAGGCAGACACAGAGGCTACTGTGTTTTGTGTTCAGTTCAGCTGGGGTTTTTTTTTTTTTGGTACTGGGGATCGAACTCTGGACCTTGTGCTTTGGAGGCACGCGGCAGCAGCTAGGGTTTTTGTTTCTAGCCATACGTTTTTTTCACTCAGAGGTGGAAAGTCCTTTTCCTGCTGCTCTGAATAGTGTTTTAACAACATTCTTTAGGGCCCCATCATATGCTTAGTTGAAAAAGCATTGTACTCTTTGCTGCCTTAGTTTTAAAAAAATGGGTACTGAGTATGTTTTAATGAAAACACACCCTCAACCCCCATACTGGGGATCGAACTCAGGCCCTTGTGCTTGCGAGGCAGGCACGGTGCCACTGAGCTAAATCTCCAGCCCTCTTTTAACCTTCTTAATGACTTGGTCATTTTTGTAAATTTTGGATATAGTATAGAATAAATTGAAGTGGGATTTCTAATCAGACCTAGGTTTAACAGTATCACCTGACTGCTTAGCCAGCATTGCAGCCTAAAGTATATTTGGAGTGCTTCTTAATGATAAAAATGTCTGAGGGGCTTCTTAATAATAATAATAATAATACTATTGTGTTCTTGCATTATAGAAAGAATTTGTACTAACTCTAGAAAATACCCTTAACACTTGCTGTCAATTTTTTTTTTTTTTTTTGGGGGGGGGAAGGATCATTTTGGCTTTTACCAGTACTGTAAAACCTCTCTTAAGTTAGTATTTTAGGGTAATAAGACCTCTTCTATAGATCAATAAAAAATTCATTTTGTGGAATTAATTTTTTGCTGCCTAACATCTTTAAAACCAATGGCTGTTTTCACAAGGACCAGCCCAAAACCAGGTTTTTGACTTTTACCGCTGTTTATTCACTTCTGTGTTCTACAAGAAGACAAATGGTTGGTGCTATAACCCTGTTTACCTTTTTTCTTTTCCTTTAGTACTGGGGATCGAACTCAGGACCTTGCGCTTGCCAGTCAGGCACAGTGCCACTGAGCTAAATCCCCAGCCCCAGCCTGTCTACTTCTTACCGAATGGTTTCTTTTTTGTTTTTTTTGTTTTTTTGGTACCGGCGATCAAACTTGGGACCTTGTGCTTGCGAGGCAGGCGGCAAAACCACTGAGCTAAATCCCCAGCCCCTCATGGTTCTTAATGTAATTAGTTTTACCACTTAGCCAGCAACTTAATATTTTTTTGTCATGTCCTGTATAATTATGTGCTTACAGGGACAAATAACGATGTTACAGTGGCAGTAGAAAATTGAGTACTACTTGTTCATAACTAAGCATTCGATAAGAGCAAGGTAAGACAGTATAAAGGTAATTTTGTTGAGCAAATAGTTTCTTTGCATATTCCAAATCAAAACGATTTATAATTTTTAAAAATTCTTTTCAGTTATATCAGCAAAATTAATCAGTACTGGAAAGACCGGAAGATAACATCTGCCAAAATCTCGTTTTTCTTTACTTTTAACACAATGTTAATAAATGTTGGTTGTTAGATAAATGAAGAAGTAGCTTAGGATTGGTATGTGAACAACTAACCTTTTTGGTAACAGGGCCTTATTAATGAGTCTAAGAAAAAAGGTGATTTTTGCATTTTTTTGAAGAAATTTGATCCAGAGAACAGTGGTTAAAGTTATAAGGTGAGGAGAAGACTGAAGAGGTTAACTGATGCCGTTTCTCTAGTTTTTATAAGAGAGACACAGCAACAAAGCGTTGCTGGGTGACAAGTGACCACAGACTTAGAGCTTGGGACAACACGTGGCCACTGTCCTGTTCCTTCACACAGAGAGTGAGACTCCATCTGGAGTCTCAGCCAGCGGAGCATCCCCTTCCTGCTCGCTCACATCACCAGCTTGTCATCAGTTTGGGTCCTTGTGGGGGACAGAGTGAGGGCCAGAGCCCAAGACCTAGGGCAGAGTTGGCAGCAGTTGGCGATCACGGCTGGCAGAGTGGCTGCGTCTGGAAAGTAGATTTGAGCCACAGAGAGATGAAGCTGTGGACTAGCACTCAGTCCCCTAGGGCACTTAGTCCTGTGTCTGTACTGCATCTTAGTACAGGTGGAATACTGGCTGATGCTTGTGGCTGTTGAGAGTCCTTGGCCAAAGCTCTGTGGTGGGAGCTTGGCCACCTTGACGGCAGCACCTTGGAATAGGTGTAGGTGGACCAGGGAGTGCTGTGAGAATCCCTCTCTGTGAAACCCTCTTGGATTGCTACAGGGAAAGGAAGTCAGTGATGGGTCCTTATTGATAAAGCATTCATTTCCTGTCCTGCACTGTTAGCACATTTATTCCTTATCCCACAGAACCATTTAATATATACTGAGAAATTTTTAAAAATCAAGTATTAGCTAATAATTCAGTCATTTCTGTTTTCATAGGTGTATAAAAGCATTGTGAACTAGTATTTTCCATTTTATTTGAAAGAAAATGATCAATGGAGTGAAATCAAATATAACAGAAGTTCTATTTTTTGAAAAAGGAAGCCTTTGGACAGTTCACTGGATCCACAGAAGCACTGCAAAACAGAATGATGCCTTAATTTTGAGCATCCATTTGTGCATCGTTGACTCACAGCTCAAAAATGACTTAATTTTCCTTTGGAAATAACACTTGCCTGTTATGAGATGCTGTAATAGGAGCTATCATCCCATGTTAACATGGCATATGTATTTTATACCTGAGTTACAATATTAGAGTCATTTCTTCATATCCAGGTAAATTTTCACTCCAAAACACACCCTAAAAACTTAAGTGAAATACATCTGAGACAGTTGGTGTCTGAAATGAATAATATCCAAATTATGATTGCCTGTATTATAATAAGGGAAAGAAAATGACTGCTTTTTAAAAATTAGGTGTTGGCTAATTTATACTTTTATACTTTTCAACATTTTTAATAAAGATTTTTTAATTCTAGTCTATAAAATAACATACTCAGAAGGATTTAGATATCTAAATATAATCATGTAGAATTTAGAACATGTTGGTATAATTCATTGAAGGCTTTTTGTTAAGCATATACAACCATGTAGTATATATACTTTGTGCCCAAAGCTTAAAGGAGATTTGGCGGTATAAGAAATATTTGGGGTATGCTCTGCTTTTTAATTACTTTTTTGTTGATCTTTGAGGTTATGTGAAGGAGGCACAAAATTACATGTGCTATAAAAGATTGGACACCATAGGAATAGATGGAAAAGGCTAGAAGAAAAACAGAAAAGGGCAGGATATTGTAAACTCGTTAAGAAATATTTTCAGTTCTAAAGGCATTTAAAACAAAACACTGTTTGGTTGACTTTCGATTTTTAATTTAGTTAATGGCTAAGAATTATTTTGATACTTTTTACAGTAATCTTGTAACAGCTTAAACAGTGACTTTTACAAATGCTACCAGCATTTGCAATTTGAACTGGGAAGAAACTTTAGAATAATACAACTTTGAGGAAGAATTCTAAGCCTCAGTAGTCATTTAAAATTCCCTGTTTCTGAGAAATGGATTCTAGTTTTAAATGTCAAATCTTAAATCAGACTTCCTACCAGTAACCCTTTCTTACTAGACACACTTCTCTTCAAAACATAATGTAAAGAAGAGGTTGTTGTATCCAGAGAATATAGAATACTATAAAAGATAAACAGTATAGAAGTGTTACTCCTCATGTATGCTGTTTAACTAAACACACTCCTCCACATTGGTTCCAGTAGGTGCGTAGAGAGAAATGTCACCAGCATCTGTAGCAGAGATTATCATTTCCTTACCTATAAAATGGGATTGCAGGGCAGTGGGGGTCCTGAATGAGTTGGACTGGATGACTTCTAACATTCTGTAATGCCTACTATTTGCAAAATAACTTTGCTTTTCATTCATCTACCAATATATTTGGCATACTTTCTGTATGTCAAACAATATACTAAAAATAGCTCTATAATTTTCTAATCTAGCATAAATCTTATAGTTGCTATTCCAAGTTTCCAGTATGAAGGATTTGTGTAATTCATATTGACCGTACTAATACTAAATCTTAAGTAGCTTTTCTTGCTGCTGGGCATGGTGGCGCACGCCTGTAATCCCAGCATTTGGGAGGCAGAAGCAGGAGGATCACCACAAGTTTAAGGCCAGCCTGGGCTACAAAGTGAGTTCAGGGCCAGCCTAAACACAAATCTAGACCTTGTCTCAAAAAAAAAAAGAAGTAATTTTTCTCTTTGGACCAAAGGAATGAGTTAGCTTTGAAAACGTAGTTTGAAGTACTGCTAAGAGTTTTTCTGCCTGTGTTTCAACTCTTTAGTTTTAACAATCTTTATTTTAGAAAACTAGCATGAGAATCAAGATACCAATTAGCAGCCAAAAGCCTAACTTCAATTTGGGGCTTGAATATTACAAAGAAATAGTAAATATTTAAAAATACTTGACTCCTTTCAGAAATGTTCTGGTCCTTTTGTGAGTACATTTCAATTCAAGGATTTGCATGCACTTGACTGACAACTGAGGAGGCATTTTCCCTTTAACCCACTCAGGCACTTTTGTGAATTATAATCTTTTTCAATTCTTTTGTTATTTAACATCACCTTTAATAGTAAATACTGTATCTTTTTAGAAATGTCAGTTAAAGACACTTACTTTAGTTACCTTTGATTTAATTAATTTACAGCCAACATTTGGCCACATGGTAAACACTTTGCTGATTTACTCATAGTATCTGTGACCATTCATTAAGGGCCTACAAGTGAGATCAGGGAAGAGGATGCCTCTTTGGTATTTCCACTGGTATAAGTGATCGCTGTCAACTGTTTTGGGGAGAAAAAGGTCAAAAGAAGCCTTGCTAAAACTTCTAATTACTTTCATCCTTCAAACACTTGATTTGTGGTGATACTTAAGGAAACTGCATTGAATTTCAGGTCTTGCTATTGCCATTAACATAATAAATTACACAAGAGACTTGGTTCACCTGGTACAAATTTACTTGAATATTCAGTACCTGAGACACCTGACAATATCGCTGTACCAAACCAAAGAGCAGCTGCCATGTATTGGTTATTGAAAATAATCATGTTTACAAAGTTCAGTTTCATCTTCACATAGGATGATTTTTTTAAAAAACTTTATATATTTAGTGGTTATGATCCAATGTGTCATAAGTATGTAAAACTGTAAGGTTAGTTTAAATCAAATATGCAATATTTACTTGAATTTTATTTCTTTAGAGAGCAAATTTGACTATGTTTACATGGATGTTTAAATTAAGCTAATTGGACCTGTAAGATACCCATTCAGTTACCTTCAGAGCAAATGCATAGTAAGGGCTTGGGATTAGGCATATGAATAGACAGTAATCTACAGATACATTTCATTCACATTTTGATCCATGCCTGCCACTGCTATTAATGGAGAGTATTTTTAACTAACCTGTAATTAAGATATATTTTTGCATTTCAGCCAAAATAAAGATCATGTCTAATAGTGTCTTGGATACAGGTAACGTGTAAACCTGAAATCCTTGTGTTTCATATGCTCTAAACTGTATTTTTCAATTTAAATTAAAAATGCAATATAGATTCAGAAAGGTCCATATTTTTCTAATGACTTCACTCTATATTTTGTGGGTTGAGTAAAGAAGCAAGGAATTGTATTTGTATTAAAAAGATTAAGAAAGCTGTTAAATTTATTATATTTGTACATGATTGCAGATGAGTCCATACTCATTTAAGAGAAAAGATGGACAGTATTTTAAAAGTGATTAGGGGGCAGAGTATGGTCTTGCTGTGTAGTCCAAGCTGGCCTTGAACTTACTATGTAGCCAGGCTAGCCTTGAACTTATGCAGTCCTCTTGCCTCAGCCTCCTGAGTGCTGGGATTACAGGTATGTGCCATTTAAAGTGATCTTTAATATGCTTTTATATAAACAAGTTTGAAATACAGTTTATCTTGGTTGTCTTTACTTATCAATACCATAAGCCTTGTATTTATTTCTCATTTGTATAATCATGACTTGGATCATGACTTAATGTTGACTTTGCTTTGTCTTTTGGGTGGCTTAACCTATATTAATGTGTATGTAAAACATTTTAAAGCTTTTTTTTCAAAAATCATAATTACTTTATTAATAAAGTCTTGTTTTGAACTGTTTTGTTGTTGTTGTTTTGAGATACGATCTTGCTCTGTAATTCAGGGTGGCCTTGAACTCATTATGTGACCCAGGCTGACCTGGAACTCAGCAATACTCCTGCTTCAGGAATTAACAGGTGTGTATCACCATCCCTGGCAGTACTCCTAAGATCTTACAAGTGACTTCTGAAATTAAAATGTTCAATAAAAGCTAAGTTATACCCTGTGGGGGACTTGGGTGGAGTGCATGATTAAAGTCATGAAGGGACCTGCAGGACAAAAGCACTTAGACTCTAGATTAGACTCTAGAATGTTTGGGTAGAGATTAGGGAAACTCACTAGGTTCGGCCATTGCCGGGCCCCCCCCCCCATAAATTGCTTAGATTAACCTAAAAAGTGTCACGTAGCAAATCTCCTTGTTCCTTGACACTCATGCTGCTTTTCTCTGCCTGTCTTTCCCTGCTCTTAAAGAGAGTTCACAGTTCGAGACTGCTCCCTTGATAACTCCTCATCCTGGGTGCTCTCAGGACAGTCCCACTGGGCCTGTTGTTGTTCAGACCAAGTTTCATCTCAGAGTAATCTTTTCATCCTTCATGCTGCCACGGTTACACACTGTGACCCGTTTTTTTTTTTTTTGGTATCAGGAATTGAACTCAAGGCCTCACACTTGCCAGGCAGGTGCTGTACTACTGAGCTACATCCCTGGCCCCTTTATTTTTTGAATAAAACTAAGTAAACTAATTTTTTTGCACTGAAATACCTATGTTGGAAGTGGTTTCACCAAATTATTAGCTAACCTCTGATATTTTATCAGATTTTCAGGTTGATCAAAATTATTCTTTCATTTGGTAAATACCACCTTATAACAACAACAGAACTATTGGCCATGGTGGTGCACACCTGTAATCCCAGCACTTGAGAGGCTCAGGTAGGAGGATTGCTGTGAGTTTGGGGTTAGCCTGAACTACATAGTGAGACCCTGTCTCAAAAAAAAAAAATCTTATGATTATTAAAGTACTGAGTAGTACATTTCACCTGTGTGTTCTTTTATGGCATCTGTGTTCCATTTCCCTTCCAAAGGGGCATAGTTCTCATATTGAGATTGCTAAATAGAACAAGAAAGCCCTGAGGTTGAGCTGTGGTTCCCAGCTCTCAGGAGTAGTAAAATTTCAAAATACTTTCAAGAACCAGTAGAGGCCATAGAGCTGAAGCAAACCCAAACCCTTCCAGCCTCAGGGTGGCTGTTAGAAACTACTCTAGCAAAGTAAAGAATGGTGCTGGCTCCCTGTGTGTTTCCCAGCCTCCAAGAGTAAACAGGGTGAGAACCAAATCTGGGTTTCTTAAGCATCATGAGTTTCTGTGGATGCTTTGGCTATCTTCTGAGGGTTAACTGTACTGTCTCTGACCCCGTCAGTAGCTTCCCCTTTAGGTTTAAAGGATATTTCTCCTGGTGATTCATCACATGCTGTTGTTCAGCCAAGCCTGTGTCTTCTCCGCACAGGGTGACTGACCTGGCATTCCCACCTCCATGTGCTACCTTCTGCCTGCTTCCTCTTGGCTTCCAAGCCAGGGCAGCATCCAAGTGCTGCCCAGAGCACTGCTGTTATTCTCTCTTTGCCAAATATTAGATATGTGCACCTACAAGTCAGTTATAAATTCTTAAAGACTGACTTTCCTGGGTATTTTTGTTTTGTAGTAGCCACCCACAAAATGGACACTGAAGATCAGAAAGGAGTTACATGGATTTTGTGTCCAGCTCAACTTTAATGGCCATGGGAAAATATGTGGCAGAGTTTTCACTGTGTATAACCTCCATACTACCAGCCCCACTCTTAGGAATTTATGCAGAAATAAGCATAGAAGGCTAGTGGTTTGAGAAGATTGTTTTTAAATTCTGTTATTGGTACATTTTAGGTATACAGTATGTTCACATTTATCATTGGGTGCTTATACCTGTACATGATGTATCTTGGTTCTTATTTTTTTGCCCATTACCTGTGAGCCCTTCACCCCCTCCATCCTTCCCTATTTACATAGATTTCATTTCCTTTTTTTTTTTTCTTTTCTCATAATTTTTCCTTTCCCTTCTTTCCTTTCCCCTTCCCCTCCCACCCCTACATCTTTGGACCTTTTCCTATTTGAAATTATCAATTACTTGTTTTAATCATTTTAATCCTTATTTATACTTTCAGTTTCTCACACTAGAGAAACTACTCAGTATTCACACATGTGTGTCCTTATTTATTTCACTTAAGAGTATGGCCTCAATATGCATCCATTTAGCAATAAATGACTCTAGTTTCTCGTTCTTTATGGCTGAGTAGTACTCCATTTTATTAAAAAACCACATGTTCTTTATCCAGTTTCCAGTTGATGGGTACTTGGGCTGTGTCCAAGCTTTAGCTATTACATACCGTGCCGCTATAAACATGGGTGCACATATATCACTGTGGTATGATTCTTTTAATTCTTTTGTGAAGATACCCAGCAGGGGAATAGCCGGGTCAAATGGGACCTCTAGAGTCTCACAGAACACAATGAATCAGCCTGCTGCAGACAGGCAGGTCTGCTGACGCTGTACCAAGGTCGTGAGTCCCATGGAACACAGAATCAGCCCATGCCCCGGCAGCAATCCACTGGACACCCACCCACCCCACCCCCCGCTCCTCTGGCCTCTTCTCTGTACAGCCACCTGGTTCCACACTACAAAGACGCAGAGGACACTGGACCACCAGACTGCTGTACTGGGTAAGTTGGAGTCATCTTCACTGCCCATCAGGACAGGGACTATCTTCAGGGGAAGGGCAACTGGAACCTGCAATACAACTCTGCAGAGTTCAGCCCTACAAGAGGACAGGGAGCTCAACTTGGGACTTACAGCCAGAAGTCTTCCTGAATCTCACGGGTCTGCGACTGGCTTGCTGAGACTCATTGACTTATATCTGTACACTGCTACCCACATTGTCTATTGTGACAGCAGAGACGTACCCTGAAAGAGGCCCTTCATCTTCAATGTTATTTTTTATCCCCAAAATTAGTATTATTAGTTTGGTTTTTTTTCTCTTTTCTTTTGCTCATCTTTAATTTTTTTTCCTACTCTTTGCAAATGTTTTCCTCTCCCTTTTTTTTTCTTTTCTTTCTTTTCTCTCTCTCTTATAGTCACTCTCTTGCTCTCCCACATTGTTCATCTTCCCTTTTTGTCCCTGTTTTGGTCCTCATTTGGAGTTCTTCTTTATTTTCCTATTCTCTTTTTCCTTCTCACCTGTGTCCTCTGGCCACATTGCTAACCTTCCCCTATCCTTCTTCCCATCTGTCCCTCCCTGCCAAACCCCTTCTAACTCCCATCCCAAAGGGTAAAGTTGTTATATTGAAGAGATTATTTGCCATATGTTGGCTTGGTCCTCGATCTTGATTTAATTCACACAACTAAAGGTGATAGATTAATAACTACCACAAAATGTCATTTTCAAAGATGTACTTGATGCAGTGGTGTTGCTGATTGTATCACTTGGGCTAAGGTGTTGTGATTGATCTAGTCAACGAACCTTCCTAGTATAAGGAAAATGAGATAGCCTTAGAGTCATTAGAGACTCAAAACCTAAAGACCAGCTCTATCTGGAAGACACCTCTGAGAAGCAATCATTCCATAAGGGTTCTAATTACTAGCAACAAAGATACCTACAATGAGCAATTTCAAACTATCAACCCAGGACTTAAACCAAGGACAGTACCAAAAACAAAAATGAGAAGACATTTAAGCAAGGCACAA